TGACGGATCTAAACATTTGCCTTGAGAGGCGAAGTTTCACCTTGGGGGAGGGGGACTTCCTATGAAATACGAACCAAAAGAAATAAAAAAGGTAAACCCAAACAACATGAAAGACATAAATAATAGGTTTTCTTTAATTTTGGACGTTCTATAAAGGGAATTTCCGCATTCCCCTTGTGTATCCACCACTGAACATAAGACAAAGATAATTTTTATAACCAAAATTTGTTGTACAAAGTTATTGTTATTTTTAACTTGTAAACAATTAGAATAACTTTTAAAATAGTGCCTGTAGACGAATTTTTTTATATTTGAGAAGCTGACAATTTTTACACGAATCTAAAAAAAAAGTCATTTTGGGACGATTAGGTAAAAAATTGGTATTTTTTTAATTCGCAGATAATTTTTTTATAATAATTGAGAAACATTATTTGTTCCGTTTTAAAGATAAAGGTTACGGATTCATAATTTTCAGAAGACACAAGATGGAAATGGAACCAAAAAACAAACATAATAAGAAAATATACAAACAATAAAGTGTCAAAAATTTGAACAGACTAGGGGTAGAAAATACGTGGACGGAACAGGAAATGGAAAAAGCATAGCATAAGGACATGAGTGAATATAAAGATGATAACACAAACAGAAGGAAACTTCATTTAAAGGTAATATAAAGACGAGAAAGGAGAAGGGAATTTTGAAAATGACAACATGGAATGTAAGAAAGAGGTATAAACGGAAAAGAAATATAAGATAAAAATATTGAAATAGTAGCTATAACAGAAATAAAAAGAAAAAGAAGAGGAATCTCGATATTGGAAAACGGAAACTTACTAATATTATAGTCGAGTAAAAGAAAAAAAGAGGGCGCCGAAGGGGTGGCATACCTACATGGTAAAGAAAGTATCATCAATAAAATAAGAAATTGGATATATTTCAATAAGCGTATACTTGAAGTAGATATAGAGCTGGGCACAAAGAAAGCGATTACAAACCTATTTGGAATTTTATGAAGATGCAACAAAAAACGAAGAGGAAAGTTCTGAGGTAAACTGCAAGAAATAAATAATGATTGACAGCAAAACTAAAATCAAAGGAGATACAAATGCTAGAGTGGGAAAAGAAGTAGAAAAATGGAACGATATTATAGGATCTTACAAAGAGGATAAAATCAACAATAATGGAAAAATATTACTTAAATTATGTTTAGACAATATGATAATCATGAATATATATTTCTAACATAAAAAGATACATAAAATCGCAAGAGAAGTCATATCAAGAAACGAACAATAATTATTTATTGACTATACTATAGTGCAAAAAAACAGACACGGGCATAATCCACAATAAAAGGTTAAAGTTGATTATTGACGTTTCAATTTCCACTTCGGATATCCAATTTTTCGAAGTGGAAATTGAAACGCCAATAATCAACTTTAACCTTTTATTGTGGATTATTCCCATTTAAATAGTAATTACTTTAAAATGTAACAAGAAAATAGCTTCAGAACAATATTAAAAATAAAACTAACTTTTCCAAACACATTTTGCTAATAAAAATGATTTTTTTTTAACTTTTTTTAGTGCCTATTCAAAGTAAAAGGCTTAAACTTTTATACTGTACTAGTAGAATTCATATTTCATGATTTTATGTCAAATGTTGACAAAAAAATGATCTCTGGAATAAACAATTTAAAGATCTTTCAAACTAATTGATGGATTCCCTTTGGGAGCAATCACAAAATGGTTAACTTTTACAACAATTATAAACAATTAACAATAATGAAGATAAAATGTTTATATTGGTTACTGAATAATAACAAATAGCTGGCTATTGCAATGTTCTGAGAAAAACTTTTTTCCCTGAATTATATACAAAATTTATATATAATATATAAATTTTTGTCATATGTAACAACTAACGACAATTGATATATTCTATATGTTTTTACTGATTTATTGTTTGTACAATGTTAAGAAATATATCGACACTTTTAACAACTTGTAACAATTATTTCGGTTGTAAATTTTGAGTTAAAAGTTGTATTTTAGTCTAAAATGTATTTCCACGTCACTGCAAATTTATAAAAAATGAAACGATAAACGATGAAAAGATCAATGACTAAAGCTTCAGAACTCAGGCTTCAACTCCAGTTAAAATATCATCACCTCACATTTTTATATTAAATATCAAATTACAAAATTCTAGTACCAACACTATAGTGGTCGAAAAAAGAGAAAAACAATGAAAACATTTCAAAAGAAAATTTAGACTTTTAAAATAATTAAAAGGGACTTAAAAACGGGGTCATGCTAGGTCTGCTCAAAAAAGTAATCCATAATTTTTATAATATTGATATTTATATAAAAGAATATAAAAACAAATTAAGCATATATCAAGATACATTAAGGTCAATATGAGAAACAAGTCATGAAATAAAAAAATGCATTTTCATGGAAAGAACAACATTTGAAATGGAAGAAAATAAACGAAACTTGAGACAATAAAAATGCGTGAAGAGAAAAAGAAGAACTTTCAAATAACAAAAAATATCTTCTGTAAATACATAAAAATTAATAGAATATGAAGTTGGACAAAAAATGTTATATGTAGAAAGATTTATATTAAAACATATTCTCCTTAAATTCAAGGAAAACAATGGACAATGCAGATTTTTTGGAAAATAGCTAAATTAATGTTTACACATAATTTTGATAAAATTAAAGTATGCGTTTTTTGCAACACTCTCAAAAGACTTTTTTAACTGGGTAAATGGAAACTGTCACAAAATTAAATATAGAAAATGTTTCTTCAAAGAAAGACCGAATTGTGAAGAGAACAGAATTGTTTCATGGAATCCTCAAGAGATTATAATAGTAGAGTAATATGTACTAAAACTGCTCAAAAACTAAATAAATAATATCAAAATTAAACTTACAGCATGAAGTTTAGAAAAAAATCATCTACAAACATGCCAAATTAAAGTTGTATCTTGATGTTCAAGAAAAGTATTTACAAATATGAATACAATTACAAAAAATTCTTGCGCAACAGGTATAAAAACATACTATTGCAGAACGTACTAAAATGGATATACATTGTATATATGCAACATACAATTCTTAGTATACAACAAATTACACAATTACAATATAAGATGGACGTAAAGAAATATTTACAAATTAAAATTGCAAGTGAGAAAGAGAAACAGCAAGGAATAAGTCATGGGAGATCATGAAAAGAAGTGAAAGAGACTGGTTAAATTTGCACACTATCAAAACATGCCAATTGCAAATACATAAGCATTTAAAAAAAATTCGAACAGAAAATTGACTTGAACACCACCAAATAGAACGACTAAGAACGAAATTGACTTACATAAGATGTTAGTGTAATCAATAAATTTCAAACAGGCAGCGACCATAGACTAATTAAAGAAAAAATTCAATGAAAGATTACGTGGCCAAATTGATAGCCTTTAATTAGTGGAAATCATCTTTGATAGTGTTAAAGAAATTGAAGGTCCGCAACAACAAAACGAACATAGCAAACTGTCTGATAAAACTAGAATACTAGTTAAGTCAATATTGTATTGTATTGTAATACTTAGTCAAGACAATAAGAAATAGTATTAAGGAAGATATAAGAAAATACAATGAATGATTGGTAGAAAATGCAATGGATAACAGGAAAAGCTACAAGAAAACAAGAAGTGCATTGAAAAGAAGCAAATCCTTGCTTTACTAAACAAAAACGTCAGGTTTACAGACAGAAATGACATAATACAACTCATAATGACATAATATGACTAAATTCTACAGCGAACTATACAAAGCCCCTGAAATTACTCAAAAAAGCAACTATTTACCAAGAAAATTTACCAAAGAAGTCGACAATCGACAACCACAAAAATAAAAATTTCTAAAGCAGCTGGAATAGATAGCATAACAGTAGAAGTGCTTACATACGCTAGCAAAAAAATCTTAGCAGGTATATCTACGAATTACATACGATCAAGATATACCACACCACTGTAATATAGCAAACATATTTCTCATTCGTAAGAAATAAATAAAAATATTCACAAAAATAATCAACAGCATATTAACAAATGCATTAGATGCTGCACAGCCAAGAGAGCAACCTGACTGAAAGAGAAATATGAGTGATTCAGCGCCCTGGATCATAGCTGCAGAATTTTTCACAACTATAGGCGTCCGATAAAGAAGCGCAATATTTCCAAAGCTCTTCACCGCAACCCTACAATATATATGCAGCAAAGTGAACTGACAGAATAAAGACCTAGCCATCGATTCAGTCATCTAAGATTTGCAGACAACTTCGTTCTGATCACATAATCCTGCAAAACTACAAGAATTTATGTTATCTAAATGCAACTAGCAATTAAGTTGGCCTAAAAATGAACTTGGCAAAACCAAATACCACGTACAATGAGCTGGTGGATGTTCAATATGTAATAATAAACAACACTGGAAATTGGCTTGGCCATCTTTTAGTAATCCAATATATTTAGTAATATGTTAAAAGCAACCCAAAAGTACTTATAAATAAAATATATTACAGCACTCAAACACTTAAGATAGACCAACAAGGATTAGCAAATAAGATCCATGCTAAAGATATACATGATTCAAGTAAAGCAAAATCAATAATAAGGACGTTTACAAATAAAGATGATTACACTATAAGACCTGTGTTTTTTTTTAATTTACAGACCGTTGTGAAAGAATATGAGAAATGATATAGAGGATGTAAAAACAAATGAAGATTTTCTAAGCTGTATCAGGACGAATTCAAATTCATTAACCATTTAAATAAAAACTAAGGGTATATTTATATAGAAAAAATAATTCTTTAAATACTGCCTAAATGCAGCATTTTAAAGAGCACAGAAAGGTTTTATGAACTGAAAAATTCTCAGATTTTATCGCTAATAGGGCCAATAGAAAATCGAAAAATACAAACTAAGTAAGGATTAAAAATAATGAGCAGCATCACAATGTTCTTTCATATGCCTCGTTTTTCTAAATAATCTCATACAATGTGGACATTTAACAGTAAAATGATTACTTCTATGATTATTTCTCTCTTCATCAGTGGGAAAGCACAGGTAACAGTACTGACATGGAAAATAATGTCTTTGATCACAATGCTGCATCATTAGATCTACAGAAGCATAAGAGTTTTCACAATACGGACAGTTAGCTACAAGATGTACTTTAAGGGCGTGTGCATCTTTTTCTCGAGCAGTTAAGAAAGAAAGTGGACAGTGTAAGCAACGGAAATTGTGAACGTGATAACAATGATACTCCATGTGACTCACTTCTAAAAAACTTTCCTTACAATGTGGACAGCTAACTACCAAGTGTTCTGCTTCGTGTTCATCTCTTTCTTCATCAAGCGTATACCAGTCCCCACAGTGCCTACATGGAAAATAATGTTCAGCAAAGTTGTGGCTCATCAATTCTTCTTCAGTTCGGTAAAGCTTGTCGCAGTACATACAGCTGTTTTTCAAGTGCTTAGCTCGGTCATGTAAATCTCTCTCTTCGCCTGTTAGAAACCAATCATCACAATAGAAGCATTCGTATCGGTGTAGACGTTCACGGTGCTCCTCCATTTCGTCGATCTCTATAAAAAGTTGTGTACAATAAGGGCATTTAAAAAAAATATGACTATTTTCATGTTCCACTTTTTGTTCAAACGTAATAAACCAATCATCGCAATACTTACATCTGTAAAAATGTTTCTGTCTACAATGTTTCTGCACCAGCTGGTGATTTCTAAAATATCTGTCACAGTGAGGGCACGGTACTGTCACATGTACGTCCTTGTCGTGATCGAATCTTTCTAAACTAGAAGTAAACCATTCAGCGCAATAAAAACATTTAAAATAATGGAAAATATTACGATGACATTCTAGAGCGTACACATTTCTAAATCGCTCTGGGCAAAGTGAACATGTAAAACTGTAATGAACATTGGTCACGTGTTCATTCTTTTCCTCGTCATTTAAAAACCATTCGTCGCAAAAGTGGCACAGAAAATGTACAGCTTCGCAATGATCGCGCATATGCCTTTCGTCTCTAAAAAGCCTTGTACAAAATTCACATTGCACTGTAAAATGTACCTGAGTTTCATGAGTACATCGTTCCTCCTCAGAAGGAAACTGAAGTGGACAGTACCTACACTTCCAACAATGATGTGCAAACGAGTGCTCTATAAAATTTGTTGGAGTATTAAATAGCCTTCCGCAGTATTGACATTCTATCAACATCTTTTACCAGCAAAAAAACTTGTAAACAAGCTAAAAAAATAAATATTTAGCAGTAAATGTATTAACAAATATAATTATTAATAAACAGACTTACTTTTAAAGTGAATTTCTTTGCTGCTGGTAAATTCAAATTATTTGTAAATCATATATTAGAACACGTACAACCTTTTTGGTTTTTGTAATGACGAGTAGGTAAGACAGAGAAAAACAAATAAACAACATTCAGACTTGTTACCTACTGTTAATTTAGCAACTATATCGAAAGCTAAATTCGGTTTTGCCATTTTCTAAATGACAGTTAACAGAATATTCTATTTTAAATATTTTTTGAAAATAATTTTCAGTAACTTTACCATTTGACATTTGTTTCTTTCATTCTGAACAAAATAAATCTCTTGTATTTTTTCTCCAAACTTGATCTGGGTAACTGAGAAAAACGTAAAATTACGATTTTCAAGGCTTAAAAACATAAGTAAAAAACAATACTTTTGAATTCACCAAGTATGTATTCATCTAAATTTAAGTTCAATCCTTGTTCTACCATTTCCGGATAAGTATTTTGCGCATATTTCATTTTAAAACATTGTTTTTTAATCGTTAATAAAGCACTTATGATAAGAAGGACGCTCGGACTGCGGCGTGTATAAGAGAAAGAAATAAGATCTGGGGCACAAATTTTTGCTGGTTTAAATTTTCATTATACAAATGAGCGCTTGTCCTGCCATACACGCTTCATTATCAATTAAAATACAATGGTTTAATAGTTATTTGTGCAATAAGGGTGTTATTAAGATATAATATAGTATAATATAATATAACATGGAAAACAACATAATTCATGTTTGATTTTTATTCATATAATACAAAATATACATCAAAACAATATGTAATAAATGTAAGTTTTTAGAATTATGTTATATTGACAGTATTCTAAGTCAAGAAGTTTTTAGTAAACATTTATGATTGTAGATTATTAATAAGTAAAATGCCCCTTGTATCAGTAAATAACTGTAAATCAGAAGCCTTTTTTTAAATTTCCGTATTGCCAGATTCCAGTAAGGGCCTAAGAAGGTATCCATTGAATTCTGACAGGCAACGGTGGGAGAAATCTTTTTGGATCTACGTCACGGAACAAGACACCCTTGCATCATTCAGATAAATAGGATACTAGAAGACCAGATACCAGAAGACCGCAGGGTAGTGCCGGATTAACCGTGTTCAATCTAAAACCTTAACCACCGTTCCAGAGAGGTGGTCTTGCCACTCAGTAAAGTTAGGCCATAAACTAATAAATAATATTAACTATAAATTTCAAATTCCTGACTTAATTTCCTCTTCTGTCCTCCTGCTCCTTTTTCTTCATCATCCCAGATTTCAGACAGTGTACTTCTCTCCATTATTTTTCTCCTCTCAACGTTATGTTGACAATGTTTCTTTTATCTAGCCTGAAGCCCATTCGCCTCTCGTAATCTCCCATGTCATTTGCCCATCTCTGGCAGTTAAAAATGTGGGTGGGAGCGTCCGGTACCCTACAAACAGTACAGTCTGCCGAGGCAGATTAGCCTATTCTATTTGTAAAGGTGCCAAAACTACCATGTTCGGTCAGAAACTGCGTCAGAAAGTAGTCTAGTTTCCTGAACTTACATTCCCACCACGGTCTCAGATCGGGAATAAGCTCCTTCGTCCACCTTGCCTTTCCACTATCATTCGCCCATTCTCTCTGCCACTCTACTATCGTTTTTTATCTCTCATTCTCATAGATATTTACATCCATTTCGCAGTGTTTATTACACTACACCACACAGGGCAGCGTAGAAACAGCGTTTCCACCGACTGGAAAAGTCCATTTAGGACCTTTCTTTTGGTGCTTCCTGGACCTCCAATGTTTGGCATCAGCCGTATCAACGCCTTCAGATTTCGGTTCGCCTTCTCTACTGTCTTTTGGATGTGTACTGCAAACTTTAGACCTTCCGACAACCAGACTCCCACATACTTAATTGATTTTACCGGTGCAACCTCCACACCTTCCACTATAAAGTGAAGAGAGGATTTTTCTCGGGTCCCTTTGAGAAATAATACCTCAGTTTTTTGAGGCGCTAGCTGTAGATCGTTCTCTCTGATCCACCTACTAATGTGACGCTGGGCTGTGTTAGCCTCATTAGCCATGTCCGTTTTCTGACTCGCCTTCGCAACCAGTGGGAGATCATCGGCATAAACTACAAGAGTGCATCCCCTTAATATCTGTAGCCTCAACACCCCGTCGTACAGGACTTTCCACAGGATGGGACCTAGTACTGAACCATTCGGAATACCCTGCGACAAACTGATGCTGTTATCTTTTTCTCTTATGGACCTGTCAGTAAAGTATCTGTCAATTACGTTGACCAAGTAGTCACTAACGCCTAATTCTCTCAGCCTGGACATGATTTTTCCCATGATGCAGTATGAAACGCATTCTTGACGTCGAGAAATAGTAGGCTAACAGCAGTAAACGGGAAGGATTATTTATAATTTTTCATAAACCATTTACCTAGGGAAAGGTGGTCTAATATCGATTACCTATCATAAATAATTCGTAAAATAAATATGTAACAACAAAAGATACACATATTGATCTGTGTACATAGTCTGATATTCAAAGAAGGAAAGTAAGCACAGCTGAACGTCTAAAAACTCTTTATTAAAAAAAAATAATACAAAAATACAAAAGGTTGTTGATATTGAAAAAAACCTTGATGATAAAAAATTAAAGTCTTCTGCATTATCCCAGTGGTACAATCAGCATGAAACCATATGCCACATGACCTGTATCGCCACCATTCTTCATTATCTGCTCCGAATTCACCGCAAACATAGCATTTTATTGTTGTTTCTTCCTCTATTACTTTTATTTCTTGTTTCTTCTTTCTGTTTCGCTCAATATTGTCCTTATCTTCACTAAATACCCGTTTTTTGACAATGTTAGTTGCTTTCTTTTGCTTTTTAATTACTTTTCTTCAAACTTTTCTTTCATCGGTGTCAAGCTTAAAATTTTGAGTTTTTTTTGCTTTATCTAGGTTTAAGTTTAGGTGTTTTTTTTTTGTGTGTTGCTAAATTTAATTTTTTTCTGTGTTGCTTAAGATATTCGTAAATACTAAAGTAAATAAAAATAATGGTGCTAATTTATCAAATATCCCTTTTTCTACTACAATTTAAAATATCTCCAAAAATATTAAGTATAGGCAAATACTTGGGAAAAATTAAATTACAACTGAGTTTGTGATGGTGATATAAAGTACAAGGTGGTGCTTTTAAAAATAATGATCGAATAATAAGTTTATGTTTTGACTTACCCCGTATTACATTTAAAGAAGGTTAGGAAAATCAATTGTCTTTCTGAATTTTGACAATAATTTAAAAACTATGGCGACAACAGGTCGTTGTACCATCGATATGTACCACAGATTCTTAGTAAATCGATTTTGTTCGCCTCCTTCTACGACGGGGGTTTTAGGGGGAAGCCGGGGGATAAATAGAGAGATAGATTTAGGTAGGTGGTCTTTTGGACCATTCCACTGCGACCTTTTATGATTTATTGTGGCCCTCTAGTCCTAGATAACATTCTCTAGCCTGACCCTTTTTAAAAAGTCTAATAGCTTCGAGATTATACCTATGTAGCTAGTTGCCAGTAGATTTTCTTCTCCTAACGCAAAGAATCGCACATTTGCCAGACTGTCACACTGACATAGAATGTGCTCTGCTGTTTCTTCTTCGAGATGATAGACTTTGCACAGGTCATCATCTAATAATCCCATCAGCTTGAAGTGCCTATTCAGCTCACAGTGCTCTGTTAGAAGACCTACTATGGCTTTAACTGTTTTCCTGTCTTTGCTTATTAGGCCTGCAGTAAATTTTGGCGAATATTCTGTAATAAACTGTTTCGCCTGTCTTTATTCTGGTGAATTCCTCCACCATTCCAGAGATTTGTGAGCTACCCACTTCCTTGAAGCCGTTCTTGTTACTGTCTTTGCACCGCCGCAGAAGTGCCGAAGAATTGAGTGCCCTATGCGCTGCCTGACTATCTGTGAAGATGACAACTGAACGGAACGTTCTTTCCTGCTTTTCTATTTCTTCCACGCAGTAATGGATTGCCGTTATTTACGCCTGTAAAATTGTCACATCCTTAAAATGTATTTTTCTTGATTTGTCCTTACTATTTATACTAAATCCCCTACTATATATACTAAAATTTCTTAATTTGTCCCTACTATGCCGGCTCCTATGGGTACACCTTTATTCCAGTCTTTTCTGCCTGGTATATTAATTGTGAACTTATTGTTATAACTATATCTCGTAGCTGTTACATTAATAGGTTGCCTCATCACAATATTGGCTTTTAGCTCGTCGATTAGCTTTCTGTTTTCAACACCATGCATCTGGCCTATAAATCGCTGACTATGGATTAGTACACTTATTGCTCCCACTTGCTACGTCTTTGTCCAGCACGTCACCGAGTCATAGGTTATTATTGGTCTAATAAACTTTGTGTATCACCATAGAGTAATTTTGGGGTTAAGTCCCCAATTCTTACCGCACATCCTTCTACGTCTGCCCAGCAACATAGTAGCTTTCTGTGTGGTTTTCAAAATGTGAGTATTCCATGTAACCCTATGATCAAAATACACCCCACAATATTTGATTTCTTTGGCAAATGAGATCTCTATTCCTTCCAGCACCGGTAGTTTTAGGCCTTGTAGTACTGATTCTTTGGTGAAGTTGACGATTTGTGTTTCCTAAGCATTGACTATCAGTCTCTCGTGTTTACACCAGTCGTTAACTATATTTATGACTGCTTGCATTCTCTCAGACACCACATGTCAAACCTGCACCTGACAACGATTGCTATATCGACAGTATATCCAGTAAAAGCCTTCTGTGGCTAGATTTCTAAGGAGATCATCTACCAGGGTTGCCCAAAGTAAAGGAGACAGAACTCCTCTTTGTGGACAGCGTCCACCTACTTTTGCTTTTATAGTTATTTTACCCAGAGTGGATATTACTGTCCTATTCTTTAGGATGCCCCTATCCATCTGCATATTACCGCAGGTGCGCCTCGTCTACTCATAGCTACTATCAAAGAGCTGCTAATAATATTATTAAATGCCCCTTCTATATCTAAAAAAGAGGCCATTGCAATATCTTTGTCTTCTATTGACTTTGAAATAAGCCTATTTAGATCATCCAAAGCAAAGTCCGGTTGGTATGCATATTGACGATTGCTTAGAGGATTATCTTTTAATACTTCGTCTCTGGTGTACCTATCAAGAAGCCTTTCCAGCGTTTTTAATAGAAAAGAAGATAGGCTTATCGGTCTCTATGACTTTGGTGTTAGGTTTGATACTTTATCTACCTTGGGCAAGCCGGGGGGTAGGAGCAGTAAAATTGTTTGCATAATTCTCAGAAAAATTCAGCTTATTCGTATGTTTTTTAGAGGATCAGTGGCATTTTCATCTTGGATGACTGGAGTAGTTTGGAAATTATTGATAAACTTGGTTTCATCGTTCTTGGCGTGTGCCTCAAATAAGCTTCTATGGAATTTTTAATATTCATCTCTCTCTGATACACAGATGCGTAATTCAATTGTGCGAGTCACGTTTGTCATGGTAAAGTGCGATGAGAAGGGAATGAATAGACCACTCACGTCTCCCAGTATTGTAGCAATAACACTGATGCGTTTGGCCGATACGGTGTCGGTAATAAGTTCGGCCTCTTTACGAATACAGATAGCCGCCACTGGAGGAGGTAAACTAATCGAGCTTAGACAAGGAAAAACAGATGAAACAACTTATTGTAAGTGTTTTTACACGCACACGTCAAGAAAGATGAAAACGTCTATATCATAGTTTTTATAACACAACTGATAATACCCAACACAATGTCTTACACCAGTAACGAGAATTTCAAAATTATTTAAAATTTTCCTTCGCCAAATGTGGCATTACTTGTAATAAACATATACTATCTAATTTTATGATGACATTTTTATTCCTGGATAAAAGGATCAATTTTCGGTGTAAATATTTTATTTAATCTATTAGCTCCCAAACTCAAACAAACAATTCGGTATTAATATAGTCAACGCAGTTACCGAGAAACAAATTAAGTAATCTCTTTGACCAATTTACATCTTGACCTTTTATTCCCAGAGAAGATAAGATACTGCCAACTTTTTAATGTAAATAAGTGTTAATTCCAATCACAAATAAGAAGTTCTTTAATAAACATGCGTGACAAAGACCGTCTCCGGACTTTTTTCCTATTTTTTGGGGTTTTATGGATCTCCCAAATTTGCACAGGGGTAAGTTATCCACAAATATCTAGATCTAAGATAAGAACGTGATAGAGTTGCTGGAGTTACAAAAATTTATTTGTAAAACTTTTGTTACTTTTTAACATTTTAACAAAAGGAACACAGGAAAATTATACAAAGTGATTAACTTTTGTGACAGAGTTTATTATATCTGCTCTTACCGAAGATACCAAAAAGGTATTTATAAAATAGGACGTAACTTTAAGTTTATATTTTAAAATTGGTTATAAATTTACAGTGTCTTCCATAACACTGTACATCATTACAAAAATACAAATTTTTTTGTTGTGATACGGGGTATTTACAATATTGTCGATAACAACATTGTTGAGTTGTTATCGACAGGTCCTCGAAGACACTTCGTCTCAGGATCATTTTACCTATGTAGAGTCATACGTCGCCATGTTACCAATTCCAACGGAAACTTAAACGCCCTAATTTGTAACTATATATAATGTAAAACAACTGTAAATTTATAACATTTAAAGGGTTTTGACCCATATATTTTGGTGGCTCATAGCATGTATACCTCGTTTACACTGATGATGGATTTAACAATCCGAAAACGTTCTGTAATGTAATTGTGATAACCCGTTTGGGCATTTTATTATATACCTTTTATAAAGGATTTGAAATAAATTTTTTGTGATATATGGTATACAGCCAGCTACAGGAACTTAGTTTCCTAGTGGATTTTTATATCGTAGAATGTTCAGAATATCATGGGTTCAACACATTTCAAACAGAGAAGTCTTGAACAGAGTAGGTCAAACTGAAGGTGACTTAATAAAGATGATAAAAAAGAGAAAACTCGAATATCTGGGGCATATAATGAGAGGAAGCAGATACAGGTTAATGCAGTTGATATTCAACGGAAACATCGACAGAAAAAGAGGAATTGGTAGGAAGAAATACTCATAGCTCCGAAACCTTCGTCAATGGACTGGCTTAACAGCAGATAAATTATTACATGCCGCGCAAGATCGAGAACGATATCGACAAATCGTCATGGAATCTATGCACGCCTAACACTTGGGCACGGTACTCAAAGAAGAAGAACACTACGTATCTCACACTTCTGCTCACTATAATGGTATCACCAGTGAATGCGAGAATTTTTGTCGCTTTATTAATAATTAGATAGATAATTAGATATTATTAAGTTGGAAAAGGGGAAGTATTTTTGAAGTGGGTAAAATATTTTAATTCATAGCTGAGTACTTTCGGCCTACAAAGCAAACTTAAAGGCTATGGTCAAATATAAGTAATCCTAATAGAAGAGATCATGTGGTAAGCAGAAAATTGCTGGTTTTATTTTTTCATTTATTTCTTAAACAATGAAAAAAATACACAAAGGACTGTACACTGGACCCTACAAAAACACATTAAAAAATATTGGTTATGGTATGGGTGTCAGAACCCGAACTGGAGTTGAAGCAGCAGATAGATAATATATGTTTAAAATTAAGCCTTTTGGGGATGTTTAAAAGTCCTGTGGCTTTCCCATTTTTCATTTGTGTTAAGATTCGTTTTATCTCGTTCACTCGGTTGTGCTTTGTGTTCGTCTATTGGATCTGTTCTATGTAATTTGTTTTGAAATATGGACGTAATGAACTAAGTATATTTTAAGTCAATCTTTAAAAAGCTATTAACTAGAGCGTTTAATGTCAATTAATGATTTTTCGAACGTGTAGGTAATCGTATGCAAGTGGTTCTCACATTTCATTAAAGATATGAATACAGCCAATTTTATCGTGGGAAATTTAGAGAAGAAAAAAAAATAAAATTGGTAATTAAATGGTTATATATTAAAAATATTAAGAATAAAACAAATGAAATATATAAGTAAGCATTAAATACTGTTCCAAACAAAGTGGTGAAAATTTATTTTTTATCGTGTTTTTTTCATAGATAATTATCCCTACGCAAGAGCAGCCCCGTCCCCAGTATTCATCCGGAATAAAAACTGCATTTAGAAAAAATTCCAATCCGTACATGCTTCAGAACTATAGCAGAGTTGTAGTGCATAATAGGCCAGATATTCCAGGAGCACAGTATGTTCGTACTCATACTGAAGACATACAACATGTCTATCCTGTATATAATATCCAAGGAAACAACCAGAGAGTGCAGCATCAAAATGTTTTACAAACACAATCCCATACCAGTAAGTATTGTGACATTTGTTTATAATTTAGAACATCTTACCCCACATTGAGTGATTGTGTCCTCTAACCGTATATTTCGTTCAGGATTAATAGACGTGATCTGAAAATTTTTTCTTGACGTTTTGTCCTCTCCGCTGTTCTGGTTTCTTTTCGATTCTTACTTTAATATCAAGCCTAGCTAGTCAGCTAGCCTCTCCTCACTTGTGGAATTTCTGACAACGTTTTAAATCCGCTTTAGTACAGAAAAACTTCGTTCTACAGACGCACTTGTAGCAGGTATTGTCATCACTAAGTCACATAATTTTGAAACCTCACTATATGCTTCATCCAGTTGAGTTTGTTAAAGAAATGTCAGCATTTTAAAACTAATATCAGTTTGTAGAGAGTGTTGAGAAGCATACAAAACGCACAGTTGGGAGTGCAGGGAAATAATGTCAAAAAAGTTTACATAATGTTTTTTTAGACAATTAAAAGCCTCTTCCGTGAAACTACAGTTGGCATATTTATTGACGTTGCATAACTCCACAAATCTTAACTCACAAAGGTTTTTAATTCTTTCTTCAATCTACTGGAAAATATTATCTATTATTTCACAAAAAAGTCGATTATAAAATATTTTTGTGTTGCCTACATCGTCAATTCTATTGCGTTTTCTCTTGGGTTCCATCTCTTCGAGGTCGCAAGTTTTTTGCCACATGATATCAAATTGCTCCTTTTGTCTGTTGATTTGGACTTCGAATTCGTTAATTTTTTTAATACAAAATCCAATATCATTCGATTTAGTCTGCATTACATCAAATAAAATGTCTGTATAAGGAAATATTCCAGAAAATACTGGAAGCAAAAAATTAAAATCAAAATCTCGTTTGACCAACTCCAAATAACCTCTTGAGGAATTCACAGTTTCGAGGTCCCAACAGTCTTTATGCTCCAAAATGCTTTCAAATAACTCTATTAGGGATTGCCGATATTGGGAAACTGTTTTTACTAACCTCCAATTGTAGTTCCATCTTGTGGGAGCTGCTCGAGGGAACTTTTTCTGAAGAATGATATCTAAAGCATGTGTCCTTTTGGACGATTTAGAACAAAAAGCAGCCATTCCGCTCAAGGTTTGGAAAAATACTTTGCAAGTCTTATTGAGTGCGACTGATTGCGCTAGAACTAAATTTAGCCTGTGTGCAAAGCAGTTGCATTTTGAAACCTCTCCTTAACTTTGGTTTGAAGTTCTCCTAGGTGCCCAGCAATTACGACAGCTGCATCATAATTTTGAGCGACCAGTTTGGAACCACAGTCCAGTTCCTCAACTATATTACAAACATGTCTATATATACCTTTTGCTGATATATCTGCAGTTATATCCAAAAATCCCCAAATAATTCTTGTATTTCACCATTATTTTTGATGTAACGCAAAACAACCGACAATTGACTCAAATTGACGATATCTGTAGTTTCATCTAGAACAATAGAAATAAATTGTGCTTCTTTTATGTCTTATTTGATTTTATGCAGACCAATATTTGCCACAAACTTGATCAAATTGTTTTGTATCCTATTCGAGGTACCTCGAAATACAGTAGAATCGTCTTTTTAATTGAAAAAATTTGACTTAATACTTAATATATATAGTAATAAAGTAATTAAAATTACTAGTTTATAGGAAGTCAATCCTCACAATCTTAAGTAAATTTTTTATTGTTGTAGAATTTCTAGGCTATTGGTGTCGAGGCTTACCATACATGCCTTATTATCAGGCCATAGTACATAGGTCTTTGTTTTATTAAAACTTAAAGCTAAAAGCTTGAATCAAGTATAAGACTGGGTGATAGCTTGAGCCCGTTATTGTTTAACTTGATATTAGACAAACTAATAGAAGAAGTAAAAAAGTAATACTTATTAGTAATATTTGGTAATACTCTTAATACGCAAATCAGAGACATCGTCAGATGAGGAGGCTAAAGAAGACGAGAATGAAACAAACACATTAACAGAATGGGAAAAGAAAGACTTACTCGAATGGTAAGAGATAAAACCAGAAAATAAAAGACCACAAGGCAGATTCTTTAAAAGATGGAGAGATAGCTGGCAGTCAACATCGAAAATACTGCTAATTTAGACAGGAAACAACAGCCCTTAAGGCCTAACATAAAAAGAAGAAGAACAAGAAAAGAAAAAAGAGAGTTAAAATCAAAATTGAATTATTCAATCAAACAACTGAAACCTTAATTAAGTTAGAGTGTTAATAATATTGTGAACTGTAAAAATTAATTTAGTGAGAAAATTGACATAATATACAATAAACTGAGACATTGTTGACATTGGTTGTAACCAGTCTGATGGAAACTGTACACTGTAGTCAGTCTGATTATTGATGGGGTATTCTTTGGTTTTAATAATACCTTCGTTCCAGAGTTTCGTTTTGTTTTGTCCATTTGTATGTTTTTCATGTTATGTTAGATATGCTTTATTTCTGACGCCGATATTTTTCTAAGTATCATTTAATATCCAACCTATATATAATTGAATTGTTGAAGGTTCTCAAAGAAACCTCTAAACCAGTTATCATCACATTTTAGAAATCGATGCCGGACAATTCAACAGACCAAACAGAACGATTATTAAAAGAAAAATTGAGTCTAAAACTTTGGAAATATATACCAAGTGTCCACCTGGAGTAACCGGGCAGTTCATTTATTCAGCTTCTTGCAATCAGTTCTTGAACTGTTGGAAAGGGAGAGGTAACGTCCAAAACTGTGCGCCGGGAACACTGTTCAATCCAAAATCGTTGGAATGTGATTTTCCGGAGAAGGTGGAATGTGTAACAGGTAAGAATATTATTTTGTAATATAAATAAAGGAGACAAAGTTGTAATTGATTTATTTTTCGGTTATAATAAACTCAAATATTGCGAGTTTTTGCAAATCGAATTTTTACCGTCGGGTTAATACAAATTTTATTTAAAATCGACTTCGCGCCCGGAACTGTCACTCAAAATCGCCGGTCGCTTCAAGCATTGTTTGTGAGAGAACGGTTCATTTTACACAAAAAATGCTAATGAACATTTTTGTTTAAAATTATTTCAGCTATATTTTCTATTTGACATATTTTTTTCTACGGCGTAAATAAACTTGGTAAATCGCTTTTTCCTCCCTACCAAAGGGCGTTTTAGGGATAAGCCGAAGAGTAGGAGCGGAAAACTTTTTTGCATCTTTTTGGGATACTAAAATTGACATTATTAACAAAATTTAGCTTGTTCGTATGATTTTTAGAGGTCAAATCTCTGACCTCTGGGTAACTAAGTAGACAAAGATTTATTAAATATTTATTTTAGGTCCTAGCTCAAATACCATAGAAAACATAAGAGTGCAAAAATCCGTGCTTCAAGCTTCCTGTCCTGCTGGTTTTTCCGGTATAATACCGGATTATTTTGACTGTTCAAAATTTATCAACTGCGATAACGGACAAGAAAATAAAATGGCTTGTGCTCCTGGTACTTTGTTCGACATGAACAAAAATATGTGCGATTATCCGCAGAGCACTACTTGTTTCAATGGAGATAATTCTCTTGAATTGAATTCAGCTGGTACTCAACAACATTATCAGTGGTCTCAGGGTTCAACTGATGGCCATGATCTATGTACATCCCAGAATTGTAAATCTGGTAAGTTTTTTTAAACATCTTAATTAATTTCCTTTTACCTAGTTTTAAAAAACATCTTTCATTCGACATGCTTCATCTACAAATTAATATGCTAGTTTAAAGGTATTTTACAGACGTAAAAAATAAAGTTTCTAATGTCAATATAAGGTTACCAATAAATTAGTTTTCACATAATTTCTCCCCATTTATGATAAATCCAACCATTATAGGGCCCTTCTAACTCTACTCCACCTACGTAACATCATTATCATTTAACTTACTCGTTATATGCACAAGAACATTATTATCATCTAAATTAGGTTCACTGGTTAAAAATAAAAACAAATATTCCAAACGCTGCAAAAAAATCTCTACATGTCTCTTATAAATTCTACAAAAAACGTCATGTTTCTGTAAAGAAGTAAAAGAAAAATTCAAAGAAAAGAAAAAATATATTTTTTAAAACTTTAAGAGAATTCGCAATAAGATATATAGGCTTATTAGAATAACCAAAAGCAACCACTGGTAACGCTTGTTAACAATAAAAATGTACTCAGAAGGCCATACGACACCAACAGACCCAGAAACACCGGAAATTACAACTGATGAACATACCAGAATAAGCATAGTGGAAGTGAAGGAAGCACAGTAAACATTGCGGAACAATGATGGCAGATCAATTAACACAGCTCATTAACAAAATATTGCAATACACCAAAGTACCCAAACAATTTTAAACAAGCATATTAATCCTGATGTTTAAAAAAGTGGCAAAAAAGAACCGGAAAATTATAGGGAAATAAAGCTAATAAACTAATCATGTTGAAACTAACGACGAAAATTTTAAATAAATTAATTAATGAGAGAATACCATTTCAGGATGAACAAAAAGGCTTCCGAAGCGCAAGATCATAATATAGAGACGCAGTATTTGTTATATGACATATCACGAAAAATGCAGTGGAATACAATCGGCCGACATTCATTGGCTTAATTAACTTAAAAAGCAGTTAACATAGTCATTTTGAAAAACGTTATTTACCTTTTATACAATATACAAATACCATTAGATAACATTAAAACAATCGAAGATATATACAAGGAAAACAACATGCAGGCCAGAATAGATAGGCAACTGACAGAGGAAAAAATCGTGAATGAATAAATCAAGAAAAACAATCTTAATAAAAATTAGCTACGGTCATATCAAGCAGAAAAATCAATCGAAGCCGCCTTTACAAAGAAAGAAGTCGCCCTTACTGTATTTAATAGTACCTCAAGCGAGTCAATATATAATGCACTGATGAGGAAGGAAATCAACAAAACATCATGAAAGTGGAGTATTCAGATGCTTCAGAATAAAATAAGAAATATACTTGTTGACTACCTGACTCATGGGCTTAGCAATCAAGGGATCTTGGTCCATGGTTCCGCAGATGGTATTGCAATAATGACTAGGAGACATTTTCTCAGTACTGCTGTGAATCAGAAACGATATGCCTTTGATTACATAGAGAATTTGTGTCTGAAAGAGAAACTCTCTGTGAACTGGTCGAAAACTAAACTTGCAGCCTTTACTAATAAAAGAAAGCTTAAATTATTTGGGGAGGAACTAAAAAGAACCTATGAGGGCAAGTATATAAAGATAACGGTGGATTCCAAACATAGTGGAAGCTATTACATTAACAAATAGGGCTGTGTGACTCTTTTGGAACTGCAGACAAGTTGTAGGTGACACCTAGGGGCTAAAACCAAGAGAAGAGCCACTTAAAGTAAATAAATTTCCCTATTTTTCAACTGTAAAGTAATTTACGGTATGAATTAGGGATGAAAGTTCTTTTACAATCTGCATAGTTGTACAGGGTGTCCTCCGATTTATATTAAATAGATTGAGAGTGTTTCCGGTGAAACTGGAAGTAGAGAAGTAACAAAAAATATGCCGTTAAATGCGCTATGCATGCAAAACTTCATGAATGTCGTCTTGTTTGTTTCAAAACTATTTAGTTGGTTCCATACTTTACCCCAACCTTATATATTTATATATATATATATATATATATATATATATATATATATATATATATATATATATATATATATATATATATATAATTATATATATATATATATATATAATATATAGATATATAATTATATATATATATAATTATATATATATATATATATAATTATATATATATATATATATATATATATATATATATATATATATAATTATATGTATAGGGTAATATATATAACTATATTTACTATATACTTCGATGTGGGATTAAGGTCGTAAGGTCGTGTCAAACGTATCTTTTGAACGATCTCTATCCATTTTTTCTGTCTACTTTTTCCTACCATTACCTTAGTTCTGTATATTCCTTTCTACTATTAATACTTTGATTGTTATACGATCATTGCTTATTGTGGTTCTTTCCAACTTGATCTGCCTAATGTCTGTAAATTGTGACTATCACAGAATATTGAAAATAAATTCCCCTAACTTTTTCTAATTAAATTTATAGGTACCTATCGTGAAAGTCATCCTGTAGGTCAAGAAACAGTACCTACATACACTTACTGTAACCCAAAGACTCAAAACTGCGGACATAGTACATATTATGACTTGCGTGGAAGTCAGTCAGGATCCAAATCCACTACATATTCGCAAACTAATAATAGGGAAGATAATTACCAATATGGAACTGATAATTTAAGATATGGCCATAATACTGACGAAGTAAGGTATGATTCAAGTAGAGGACAAAATAATTATCGGTGTAGTTCGGGTCAAAATTGTGCAAGACCAACGCAAAACGGTGTATCATCTGGAAATACACAATACCAAACCTTAAGCTACGGACAAAACAATGCAGGACAATATTCAAATCAACAATCAGTTTATAGTCATTCCACGACTTATAAGCCTGACAATGAAGAACATATCAGTACTTCTACTGAATACATAGGATGCGATTTACAAACTTTAAAGTGTTTTCTGCCTGGTGAGCATGGTAGTCCAATAAATGGAAATACTGAAGGCTTAGTTAAAAAAATCTATAAAATTAATCAAAAATGTAATCCAGCAGTCCAAAATTGTGGTCAATACAGAGTAACCTATTCGAACAATGGGCAAAACAACGAATACTTAGGAAACGGTCACGGTGAACTCAACAGACATAACTGTAATCCAGCTACACACAACTGTGAACAATACTCAGGACAAAGTACTACAGTTACGCAATGGTCAAGTTCTCCACAACAACGGCCCAATTACAATAAAATATGTAACGTTAATGACCCAACCTGTAGACAAAACCAATGGACCAACCAACAGTCAGTTAGCCAGAAAACTACGACAGATTCTCGACCTGTCTGTCCCAGTGGATTTGTGGGTCTACACAAGCACCCTACTGAATGCAAGAAATATTTGAACTGTGCTAACGGTCAGACGTTCGTGATGGATTGTGGTCCTGGGACTGTGTTTAATCCGAAAATTTCGGTGTGCGATTATCCTTACAATGTTGACTGTACAGACGCTGAAACTTCTCAAGTTACTACGACTGTGGATTACGGCAATACGGGAGGTGCTAGAGCTGAGGTTAACACGGGAAGCTATACTGAGTGGCACAATCAAGACGGACATAACGGGCAAGATTTGAATCACAATTCAGGAAACGGTAAGGCCTATGTTTTTTTTATCTAATACTATTATCAGCAATCAATCACTTATCTCTGATTTTTGTATTTTCTTTCCATTCTGATATTCCCAGTTTTTTACATCAGTTTTAACCTCTTTTAACCATTTCTTTTTTGGTCTTCCTCGTGTGCGCTTTCCACCCACTCCTACTGTTTATACTTTTGTTACATGTCTGTTTGTGGATATCCTGTAAACATATCCCATTAAATTTTGAATTATGCTTGGTTGGTTATAGAGCTCTATTATTTCCTTATTTGTTCTTTTTCTCTATACGCCGTCATTGATCTTAGTCTCATCATGTATCTTGCGTAATCTCTTTTTTTCCCATCGTTCCAATTTCTGTGTATTTTTCTGATTTAACACTCAAGTTTCGCTGCCATGTATCCTGCTTGTAGTATTCCAAAATATAAATTGGATTTGATTGATTGTTTTGCTTAGTGCTCCTACAACTTTACTTCCTTTAGTAATCCTTTTTTTCTATATCTTCTTCGGCTCTATTTGTAATCGTCACAATAAGATATTCGAATTGATCCAATTTTTCAAAATAATATTCTCTACTTTCGCTACTTATTTATACGTATTTTGTTTAATTTTCGTGTACACATCTACACCTAATCCAAACTTTTTCAATATTGTTTCCATTTTTTTAATATCCTTATTAGTTCTGATTTTGATCTCTAAATCAATGCAATATCGTCTGCATAAGGGATAACTTGTCTCTTGTACTGTATTATACCATCTGTCTCTACATTACTTTGTCGTGGAATAGCTTCTAGGATAGATATCTAGATATTTCTTTTAACGTCATTTCCACTAACGCCGTATAGTTTTTCTTTATCGATTGAGTCGTATGCCTGCATAAAGTCTATAAAAATAATATGCAAACATTGATTTTGTTCGTAGCTGTTGTGCAATATTTATTTCATCGTAAAAATCTGATCAATTGTATACTTTTCTCTTCTAAACCCTCCCTGACATTCACCTATTATTTCAGATTCATATTTTGTCGGTTTCTTATTAATAAATCCAATATCTTACATGTTACATCCATTAAAACAATTCCTCTATACTTAATTCTTTTTTAAAATTTGTTTTATTAGGTTGAGTATTCGTTTGAGCAATAGCTGTCCATCATCCTTAAATATTTCTACTTTTTTTATTTTTTTTTAGCGTATGGCAATTTGATACACAACATTATCACATATATGTTACAATCTAACATCTAATGTATTAATATATTCAATCGACGCTGGTGTTGCAGAGGCGAAGTCTAGAGGATCTCCATAATACTTCCTCCGAGGGCATTCGGCAATCATATGCTGGATGGTCTGTTTCTCGGCGCCGCAGTCGCACTCAGCAGAGGTTCTCATCCTCCATTTATAAAGGGAATCTGCGCAGACTCCATGACCCGTTCTTATCCTGTTAAGAGTTGACCATGATTTTCGGGGGAGGTCAAAACCTGGTGGAGTTTCTGTGATGCACGGTGTGTTTCTCATTGTTAGGTTCGGTCTGTCGCTCTGCATGTTCTTCCACTGGGAGTTCATTTGGAAATTGTTGGAACTCAAGTTTATTGCATCTCTAGTCGGAGGTTTTCTGGAGCGCAATCGATGTGAATTAGCATCGGCAACATATGTGTGTATAGATAATTGCGGGTTGTTAAGCAGCTTTTGGAATTCTCTAAGCAGAGCATGCTGACGACGAAGATTAGGTGGAGGTATATGGCTCAGTAGTGGAAGCCACTCCACAGGTGTAGACTTGATCGTTCCAGATATGAGACGCATGGCGACATTGAGCTGGGTATCTATAATTTTTGTGTGAACGCTATTCAGCCAAACAGGAGAGCAGTATTCAGCTGCGGAGTATACGAGTCCAAGGGCTGAACACCGAAGTGTACCTGCTGATGAGCCCCATGTAGTCCCGCAAAGCTTCTGTATGATGTTATTACGGGTTCTCAGCTTTGCTGCGGTGTTCTCAAGATGTTTCTTAAAGGAGAGTGTTCTGTCCAGGGTGACGCCGAGGTACTTGGGATTATAGTTGTGCGTGAGCAGTTGGTTATCAATGTATACTTTAAGTTTTGTGTGGGCCATTTTGTTGTTCAGGTGACAACAGCTAACCTCAGTTTTTTTGGGGTTAGGTTTAAGTCTCCATTGTTTAAAGTACTTAACCAGGCGTTCCAGATCTTCCGTTAGGATTGCCTCGGAGTTTTGTATTAAGGAGCTTTGAGTTGCAAATGCCCAGTCGTTTGCATATCCAAACTTTTTAGATCTGGTAGGGGGCATATCAACTATATACATACTAAATAGCAGCGGTGCAAGTACGGAGCCCTGGGGGAGGCCATTATTAAGCGTTCTCTGTTTGCTCACTGTAGTTCCCATGGTTACACGGATGTTTCTACTGCTCAGCATAGTATTTATGAGTCGGGCGGTTGCTTTGCAGGGGATAATTTTAAGGAGCTTATAGATGAGGCCATCTTTCCAAACCGTGTTATAGGCAGCCGATAAATCGATGAATGCCACAGACGTCTTCAGTTTTCTTTGTTAACCTGCCTCTATGTAGGTAGTTATAGAGAGCACTTGGTCAGTGGTGCTTCGTTGAGGCCTGAATCCTGCTTGTTCATTTGGTATTTTTTTAAGTAGCTTTAGGCCGATTCTGTTCAGGACCAGTCTTTCGAGGAGCTTGTAAGCTGAACTGAGTAAAGCGATGGGGCGGTAACTCGCTGGGTTGTCTGTTGGTTTTCCAGGTTTCAGGATGGCTATAATTTTTGTTTGTTTAAAGAGGTTTGGTAGGTTACCTGTTTTGAGTATATCTGTATAGAATTTAGACAACCAGGTTTTTGCAGCTTTCCCACAATGGATCAGGAATTCGGGAGATATACTGTCTGTACCAGGAGCTTTGTTAGGTTTAATGTCTTTGATGGCGTTTGAGACTTCTTCTGGAGTGAACGGTGCGGAGTATCTGATGGACAGGCAGCTTTTAGATGTTTAAGCTCCCTTTTTATAGTAGTGGTAAACTTTATAGAGGTGGCAACTATATATTCTATATAACATATAACTATATATAATATATAACTATATATATTTCTGCTGTTTTATCGTTTTCTAATGGACGCTTGCTATTCTTCAGCTACATTATGATTTGCTCTATATCCTGATCTGATGGTTCGTTTATTTTAGCCTCATTATTGCTTTGCTCAGGTCCGGTTTTTTATTGTATTTCATTTGTATTTTCCTCTGGGTTTAACAGTTCCTCAAATTATTCTGCCCACCTCTCTAGTTTTCTTGGTAAGTCCCCTATTAGCGCGCCTTCTTTACTTCTGCAGAAGCATGCAATTCCGGGACCCGTAGCTTTATTGACTTTGACTTCTGAAAAAAATTCTTTATCTCTTTGTTTATCATATAATTTTCCATGTCTTATAACTTCATTTCCCAGTATTCTCGTTTCTTTTTTCTACAGGTCAGTTCTGCTTATTACTTTGCTTCTTTATAACTCTTCCTCATTTCTGTTGTTCTAATTCCCTTTTACATTATGTCCCTTTCTACTGTCTTTTCTGTCCCTTCCGTTATTATATCTATTTCTGTCCATTCTTGGTCAGTATCTTTATTTGGAATTGTGTCTTTTAACCTTTTTGTTATTTCCCGTTTTAACTGATTTTTGATGTTTTCATCCTTTAGCTTTTTTACATTAAAACAGTTTATTGCATTTAGCTTCTGCTTAGGTTTCTTTCGAATTTCTTGTTTTATAGTTACTACTACCATAAAACAGTCCGTGTTGCTGTCTGTCCCTCGGAAACTTCTAACATTCGTGATGATATTTACATGTTTATTTTCAAATAAAACGTGGTATATTTGATTGGCAGTATTACTTACCATCCGGGGATATCCATGTTGTTTTATCGATTGTCTTCTCTATTAACATATGTACTCTTGATTTTAATATTTTGTTCTATTGCAAAATTTATTAGCAGCATGCCGTTTTCATTTGAAGTTTCGTGCTTCCTTTTCTCTCCCGTGATATTTTGTAGTTGTTTTCTTTTCCGATTTTTGCGTTAGTCGCCTAATACTACTTTTATTTCGTAAGGTCATTTAAAAGGTCTTCTAATTTTTGGTAAGAATCTATTTTTATATCGGTGTCTTTATCTTCGCTCGGTCATGTACGTTGACTATACATATTTCACGGTACTTTCCTTTTAAAGGTAAACAGCAGATCCTTTCCGAGATTGGTTTAAAGTCTACTGTACTTAACTTGAGTCTGTCCTTTAGTAAAAACCCCGTAAGATTTCTTTATCAACTTCTGATATTTCGGTTGTCTTAAATTTTGTTTCTTGGGGAGTATGAAAGTTCAGTTCGTATTGATTTAAGATGCTGGTTAAGTTTTTCACCCCTCCCTTTTCCTAAATACTTCTAACATTCCACGTGGCTATTTTTAGTTGGTTTTACCTTAATTTATATCTTTTTTTGTTTTCTCGTCTCTCTCATTCTCTTTTCTGCTTGTATTTGTCCCTTTGGTTTCCATAGTCGTGTTTTTCTTCTTGGCCTTTTCCATCTATATTTGATTCCACTGCGGTGCTTCGTTTATTCCTTTCTTTATTCCACTTTAATTATTTTCCATTAACTTTTGGTTTCATATAGCCTATTTGTGTCTTCCTTTTCTTTTGTCTTTTCTCTCGCTATTTTTGTAATTACAGCCTTTATTTTGCTTTCATTTTTTTTATGTTCGACTCTCTCTCTCTCTTTATATATATATATATATATATATATATATATATATATATATATATATATATATATATATATATATATATATATATACTCTGTCCTGCTATATTTTGGAGCTTTTCGAGGATCATTTGTGCCTATTTTGCTATGTTCTGTCAAGTAAATATTGAGGTAAATATTTGTTTCCATAAATTGCTTCAGTTTATCTTTAGTATCTCTCTCATCATTATTATTTAAATCTAAGCCTTTTTAACCATATTTCTTTTTCTTTGGTCTTTCTCCAGCCCTTCAATTTTCTTATTCACCTCATTAAATCCCTTCTCTAGTTCTAAATTTTTGTGTTTCAATTCTCTAATACAATCCAGTCTTTCTTTGTTCGGTACGCAGTTTTCTTATTTTAGCCTTCATATCTTCATTTTTCGCCAAAAGTTTATGCATCATTTAAGCATATCCTCGTTTTGGGAGCTGTTCTTGTTCGGTGAACTCTTCGTTAATTTTCTCTTTTCAAAAATCTCTTTGGCTTCAGTTTCTCCTCTATTCCTATTTTTCCAGTTTTCCTCGCCACTACTCTCATATTCCAATGTAATTCCACGTATCTTCTTATATACCTACTGCGCCACTGTAATAATAAATAAGATAAATAAAAATCTTAAATCAATCTTAAATAAATAAACGAAAACCTGAACAATAGACCTGTTTTTTTTGTTGATTGTTTATCGCTCTTAGCGCCCGTTCAGCCCGAGTTACCACCCTAATCAACTCCTCAGAGGTTTTGACCTTCATCGAACGATGACTGAAAACACTAAATTTTTAATTTACTGATAGTATAATCCAAAAAATATAACCGATTTACTTACTCCCATAAAAATCCTTGTTAACTACACTTTGCACTATTTAATGTATGCAAATTATACTAGAAAATACAAAAATTTGAGACAAATCTCGGAGGAATATTACACACTTCTAACTAGCACGATTTTCAGAACCAGACTCATATCTGTTAATTATTTAAATAAAATCGTCTACAACGGTGTACTTTATTATACAAAACCATTTAACAACATTCTACAACAAAATCTCAATCTTCTCCCAGTTCTGGTCTTATTTTAGAAGAAGGTTGACATAAGTATGGAATTAAATAGTGCACATCACCAAAAAACTCTTATTTTAGTCTAATTTTGACTTATTTCACTAATATTCACTTTTTACAATTGAAACATATAAATTAAAGCCCGCCATGTTCCAACGCCGCAATAGGATTTTTTCGAATGCTACAAAATTGAACGTATGTAATTGGATCGTGTATTTGCACCATTCGACCAAACACACAAAAGATAATTAAAATTATCCAGATATAATCGCAATTCTTCTAAAAAATGTACGTGGCAGTATGTAATATTGCTTTTTAGCAACCAATCTGTGCACCACCACCTACGTTTACAAGAGCAAGAGTCACTAAAAGTATATAGTTATCTGACATGTTTCTGATTTAAATGTAAAACTCATACTGTAAAATTAGTACGTGTGTGTTCCCATCCGATTTTCAACATTATTGTACTGCAATTGCGTTCGACAGAATCGTACTGCCTCGATGGAACATGAGTGGCGTAATTATTTAATTTCAATAATTTTTCAAGCTCATTAACGGATTTTTCAACGAATGGATGCTTTGGTGAATTAAATTAATATTTTGATTTGCTACGGTTTTATCTTTGTGTAAAAGTGTCTTACAATTTTCTGGACTTATTGATCATGTTTCTTTTTTTTATGATCTTTTACCGATGGTGGCATCCTTTTTCTGGTAAAAAGCTTGGAAATTAGTAATCCACTGGGCCAGATATCTCTTTGTCAAGCTCTCCTGATAGTTGATTAGCCAATAATTACCATAAACGATGCCTAAACCTTGTTGAACCTTTTTTTATTAAAAAGAAATTGTTCGACATTAATTTAAAATCTTCTAGTTTGTTATTTTGTCAGTGCTGTTGTTCGTTCTAATAAAAATTGTTTATCATATCATCTTTTTTTTTATCCACGACAATCTGTCTTCGTTTATACTACGACAAGATAAATCTCGATTTTATTAGAAATTATTAGGTAGATTCTAGCTAAGAGATTTTTACATACTGGTATAGTGATACCCAAAACTTGGACTTATATTACCAAAACTCACAACTCCATTTTGTTTTATCAAATTCGTAAAAACTGATTTTAGGTAAACCTGGATACGTAATTAATCCAGTAGAGAAATCCCCCGATTACGATGATGTCTACAACTCAAACCACTATCAACGAAGACCGCAAGTAACCACCCCAAGAAGCGCTTGGCCCCCACCATATCAAACCGCGGATTCTAACGATCTTGGCGAGACGGATTATGTCTTTACTTACGACAACGGAGATCCGGTAGTTTTGGAACCGGAAAACGTAATCGAAGTCAAACAAAGGGTAACTAGGAAATGTTCTGACGATGATTTTCACTGCAGTGCGAACTCTTGTATTTCTCTGACGTTGCTTTGTGACAATAATAGGGTAAGCGAGATAAAAAAATTACGTAAACGTAATGTATTATAAGTAAAGATTGGATTATAAGCATGACAGAAAGGTTAGTCAGTAGTATTATATTTAATTTCTTCTTCGTGATGTGCCTATCCGTTACGAATATTGACCATGGCAATCTTTATCTTAACTGCAGCAGCACGGAAAAGCTGTACATATGTTGTATTGAACCAAATTTTGAAGTTCTTTAACCAAGATGTTTTTCTTCCTCGCTTCTAAATATCTTTTCTTGTAGGTTAGCTTGAAGGAGAGCATATCTGGATTAATTTCGCATAATATGTCCGAAGAATTGTAACTTTCGAGATTTAATGGTGGTCAGTACCTCTCGGTTTTTATTCATTCTTCTGAGGACCTCCTCATTTGTGACTTGGTCAGTCCACGGGATCTTAAGTATTCTCCGATATAGCCACATCTCAAATGCTTCCAGTTTTTTGCACATATCTTCGTTCAAGATCCACGATTCAACACCATAAAAAAGGACAGAGAATACGTAGCATCGCAGCATTCTTACTTTTGTATCAAGAGAGAGGTTGTGACGTTTGAAGAAGGCCCCCATCTGATTGAAGGTGGATCTAGCTTTTGCGATACGTGCTCTAATCCCCTGGTTGTTGGTCCATTCTTCATTTATTACGGTGCCGAGGTAGTTGTAGTGCGTCACTCTTTCTACAGGAGATTGGTTGACGTAGAGTTGACCTTCTGTTATCATTTTCTTGCTAATATAGCGTAGGAATATTAGCAAGCTGTTGATTATTTCTACAGTTTTTTCTAAATATTCTTTAGAAGTTATATTTTCTTCTGAGTCTACTGTAAATTCTTTTAAAACATAACGAGATAATACCTCTTGTTCGACATCGCTACTACTTTCTGGGTCGCTTTTAGCACCAACTGGAGGCAAAAGAACCATTATTTTATCAATTCTCTTTTTTTTAGTCTGAAAAAAAATTAATATCAAATAAGACTTATCGAGCGGTGTATACTATACAATACAAAAAGTTTTGATTCGATTTGCTGAAAAAATATTGTACTGTATTGTACTGTACGTAACAACTATTTCAATAACTGATATAGATACTTACCACTTGTTGGTTGGAACAACACGCTTGCTCGCCTTTTTGCCATTTTGTCGACTGTATCCATATTCCATATCGTGAGAACTAAATGCGCGAAATTAAGAATTTTCAGGCCGATTTCCAGTCGGCTACGTACGGCGGTGTCATCTAGCAATAAGACAAAAGAGGGAATCTAATCCTTATGAAGAGGAGACCAAAAAAGTGGCCTCTGATGGCGGACATATCCGGAAATGCGAATGCGCCAAATTTAAATTTTCCGACACTTATCAACAGTAGCTATATATTATTCAGAATGTGTCTTAGACCAGAAAGTTTTAATTAATTATTAATGATAAGAGTCTAAAATGCGACACAATTGTTAAAAAACTTCAATATAAATAAGTCAAAGACAAACAATAACATAACCCAACTAAAGGCTATAGCGGGATAAGATGGTCAAAATTGCACCATGCTCGATTTAGTTTTGGGCCTGCCATTCGAAAGGACATAATTAAAATCTCGCTCAGTTAAATTTTCAAGTCGTTAGGTGCCTCTGGGGGTTCGCTATGGGAAAAAACGTATTTAAAAAAAAAAGTTTTTTAGACGCTGTACTGCTGCAAAAATCTGAAAAAATTCATGAAAGCTTAGTTTAATAATACAATACTATCTGATTTTTTTCAGATTTTTAGCTTGAAAATTGAGCCAAGGAAAAATATTTGAAATTTTCAGTAATATTTTAGGTTATGTCGGAAATTTTTGGCCAACTTTAAAACAATGTTTTTTTATGGGTTTTTTCCCGTTCTTTCGAATGTCATAGGTATTATTATTATTTTCAACGTGGAAAATGCCTAAAAATCGAAAAAACTGCTTTTTTGTCATTTTTCTGAAGCACCCCCACCCCTTAACAATAAATTGTATGGGCCTAGGAACAAAATAAAAAAAATAAGTATTAAGTACATAGAAAACAAAAAATATATTTATATTGCCATAAGAGACAATAATATCAGTTTTTATGAAATAAAAAAAATATTAATAAAATAAACATAAATTAGGTTTTTTAGTGAGATGGATCACTCATAACCTTAACAACATACATCTAAATTAATGATAATTCATATTTTTGTATGTATTCTTACCTTTACAATCGAAACAAGCTATTAAAACTATTATTTTTTTTTACAGCATGCTAAAAAAAACGAAACACCCCGTTTTTTAGCGTTGTTTTTAAGCTTTCCCTATATAACCTCTAAAGTCAGTCTAAATGAATGTTAATTTACATTTTCACATGTATCTTTCTCTTTACAATCAAAATCAGTTATTCAATGCATTAGTTTTATCTCACAACTTTCTGAAAAACCGAAAAACCCCGTTTTCTCCGTGTTTTTACGACATAACCTCAAAAGACTCTGAAAAATGAATAGTGAATTAAAACGTGTACACTCAAAAGTTGTGAAATTATAAGCTAGCGAATATATCTACATATATACGTGATATTATATCACAATGTACATGCATTTATACACAAACGCATATTCTATATAGTTCCATGACTTTTGAGATCCTTGTTATATACATTCATAAGCTCGTACCATGCTCGTCCACGCCTTACTCTTCCGCTTAGATACAAGAGCCTTATACCCATGCTTATATTATTTTTATTTTATATGTACTTAACTGTTTTGGCCTTCATGTCTTAGCACGACATCCCGCATATCCAGGGAGCCTGATTGTAACAGAAAACATGGCGTTGATATTTGCGCCGCACGGTAGTTGATATTAGGCGGCGCAACTATCAACGCCATGTATATATGATATAATCAGGCTCACATTATATATTGCATATTGCTCTTAGTGCGTTTGCGTGTGTAGGGCCATATCCTCTGTATCGCTCTTAGTCAGTTTGCGTGTGAGGGCCTTTATCATTTCGGCGGGGCTTTTCCTCAAATGTTCAATAGCTCTCCGTTTTTGTGTTTATTTTGAATCGATTTTGAATTTGACAGCAGAATTATGTCGTGTCTAAAATAACAGACAAAAATAACCAGTATTATTGTTTTATATTATATTAATTTATGTTTATTTTCTTAATATTTTTTTATTTCATAAAAAGTGATATTATTGTATCTTATGGCAATATAAATATATTTTTTGTTTTCTATGTAATAATTATTTTTTTTTTGTTTTGTTCCTAGGCCCATACAATTTATTGTTAAGGGGTGAGGGTGCTTCAGAAAAATTCCAAAAAAGCAGTTTTTTCGATTTTTAGGCATTTTCCACGTTGAAAATGATAATAATACCTATGACATTCGAAAGAATGGGAAAAAACCGATAAAAAAACATTGTTTTAAAGTTGGCCAAAAATTTCCGACATAACCTAAAATATTACTGAACATTTCAAATATTTTTCCTTGGCTCAATTTTCAAGCTAAAAATCTAAAAAAAATATGGTAGTATTGTATTATTAAACTAAGCTTTCATGAATTTTTTCAGATTTTTTGTAGCAATACAGCGTCTAAAAAAAAATTTTTTTCTTTAAATACGTTTTTTCCCATAGCGAACCCCCAGAGGCACCTAACGACTTGAAAATTTAACTAAGCGAGTTTTTAATTATGTCCTTTCGAATGGCCAGGCCCAAAACTAAATCAAGCATGGTGCAATTTTGACCATCTTATCCCGCTATAGACTTTGATGTCAAACAAGGAGAGAGACTCTCTTTCCTTGTTTAATGTGGCCTCTAAAGATTGCACTTCCTGTCTAACAATATGTTTGCGCCCACTACCTTTACATTCCCTCTTTTGTCTTTTTACTCGATGGGTAGTGTATACTCAATTATACAGTGCTAAGAACTGGGTTTCAAGTATTATTGATTGTCAAGTAAAAAATTTGAAATATTATGTATATTATAACATACGTTGCCAAGTTAAGGGTTAAAAAGGGCGTGCCACTTACAGTTGTTTAACTATAGTTCTTTTTTAGGATTGTGCCGACGGAAAAGACGAGCAAAACTGTCGAGAATACGTCGAAAGATTTTCAGTGGCAAAACACTCACGTCTTGTCGTAGTAGAAAACCAACGCATTGTCAACGTCTCCCATTCAACTTGCGCTGTCCTTTGTATTCAAAATAAGAAGTTCACATGCAGATCATTCACCTACAGAAGATCTGACAGAAATTGTTTCTTATCCGACAAAAACATAGGGCTATCTGGAGCTCTACAGACCCATCATTCCAGCGACTACTACGAATTAAAAGATGGTACTATAGACTGCTCCGATAAAACTAAATACTTTGAATGTAATAACAAGAAATGCTTGACTAAAGATTATGTGTGTGATGGGTACAATGACTGTGATAATAGGGAAGACGAAAAACATTGCGGGGCCGAAAAGTTTGGATACAAAATAAAGTTGGCCGGGTCTGCTCAGAAGAATGAAGGGCGAGTAGAAATTACAGGTATTTCTTTGTTTAAAAATTATATTTTGTTTTAGAGAAATAATATAATTTCAAAAGAACTCTTTTCAAAGATATCATTTATTATAACTTTTAAATATATAAAAAAAACAGTTGGTCATGGGTAGTAAAAGTACACAACAGTACAGCTGTCTCTTTCTACTGCCTCCTTCCTCATGGAGTATTGGGCGCTCTTGCATTTCTTAGCCAAAAGTGAGAGATAGCTAATTGGCTGGATCAATGCATCTTCTTTTGTTTTATTCCTTCCAAATTTTCTCTACCAGTCTTTTCGATTCCTCGCTATTTCTCGCTCTCTACATCTCAGGCCAATTCTTCCATGATCTCTCGTTACAGCTCTTCTCCAACTACTATTCTTCCTCTTCTTCTTATTCCGTCTGATTGGTATTCTAGTGCCTGTGTGGTTATAATATTTTGGTATATCCTTAGTGTATGTCCAATCCATTTTCATTTCTTTCTAATTATTGTGACTATTATTTTCTCTTCTTTTGCTCTTCTTCATAGTTCTGTGTTTCTTATTTTATCAGATCAGTAGATTTTTAGGATTTTCCTGAATTATTTATTTATAAGGGCTTGTAATTTTTTGGTAGTTATTTCTCCCCCGAAATTCTGCGCCATACAATAGTATACTTACTCTTAATGCAGCTGTTAATATTTTGACTTTCTTTAATTCTAATATATTGGATTGGCTCCAGGCATGTAAAGGTATCTCCTGTATTTATCTTCCATTTATTTTAATTTTTAGTTTCTTGGCTGTTGTTTTTTAAAAGTTTCGTTTTTTCTGTATTTACCTTAAGGCCCATTCATCATCATCATTCTGACTTTACAACCCTGCGTAGGTACTAGGTACTACTAATAAACACTGGGCCATTATTAAAAAGAACGTGCTGGAGCACGCTAAAAATATTCTGAAGAGAGAAAACCAAAGAAACAAAAGAATGCATGAGTGACGAAATTTTGTTATTGATGAATTCTCGAAGACTATCGAAAGGTAAAAGTAAAAAACAGTATAAGCAAATTAACACAGAGATCAAAAGAAAAATCCGTGACGCTAAAAAACAATGGTTACAAGACAAATGTAAGGAGATTGAAAACTTGGAAGCCAAATATGATTCGTTCTATCTTCACAAGAAAGTTAAAGAAATGATCAACAATAAAAACAGGAAGCAGACAGTACTTATAGATCAACAAGGGAACATGATAATGGAAACAGAGGAGAAACTAAAACGTTGACAGACATACATAGAGGAACTATTTGACGATCAAAGGTAGCCTCCTTGTGATAATTTTCCAGAGGAGACAGGTCCAGAAATAAGCAAAGAAGAAGTAATGCAAGCAGTAAAGTCATCAAAGAATAGCAAAGCTCCAGGACCAGACGAGCTATCAGCGGATATACTGAAGTTGGTAGACGAAGATCGAATCCATTTGTTAGTAGACTTATTTAACAAGATTTATGAAAACAGTATAATTCCTGAAGAATGGCTAAGATCAACCTTTGTCCCTCTTCCCAAGAAGGCACATGCTAAGCAGTGCAGTGATCATCGCACGATCAGTCTGATGAGCCATACCTTAAAAATTATCCTCAAAATAATTCACAATAGAATTTACAGAAAATTGGAAGAAGGAGAAACTCAGTTTGTATTCTGGGAGGGATATGGAACTCGCGAAGCATTATTTGCCTTTAACATCTTGACACAGAGTATTTGGATGTGAATCAAGATAACAAGGCGTTTGATAACGTCAATCATGACCAACTTTTAGAGATCTTGAAAGCTAAACAGTTAGACACTCGCGATATAAGAATAATATCTACTCTGTATTATAATCAGAAGGCAGTTGCACGCATCGAAAATAGCCCAACACATGAAATTTAAATTAAAAAAGGAGTTAGACAAGGATGTGTGCTATCACCAGTGCTATTTAATCTCTATTTGGAAAAAATTATGAAGAAAGCATTGGAGAAAGAAGAGATTGGGATAAAAGTTAACGGCCAACCAATTAATAATATTAGATACGCAGATGATACGGTTTTAATGGCGGAGACAGTAGAAGACCTGCAAGCCATTTTAAACAAGTTAGTCACAGCTAGTGAAGAGACAGGGTTAACAATGAATGTCAAGAAAACGAAATTCATGATTATTTCAAAAAAACAAAGATTGAATGCAAACCTGTACATACACAATAACGAAATCGAACAGGTGCACAAATATAAATACTTGGAAACAAGTGTTATTAACAACAATGACATCACAGAAGAAATAAAAACTAGAATTGGAAAGGCTCGAGCTGCTTTTGCTAATATGAAGGACATTCTGGGAAGTCATGACATTAACCTAAACCTTAAAACGAGATTGGTTAGATGCTACATCTTTTCGATACTGCTGTACGGAGACTTGGACTTTAAACAAGAGCAATATCGATAAACTAGAGGCCTTCGGCTAGAGGCTTAGTATCGATAATACTAAGCCCAATTTTATTTAACATCTATGGTGAATGGAAAGCTACTGAGGACTGGAACGGTGGCATCACCATTGGCGGGAAGAAGATTTGCAACTTGAGATATGCAGATGATACTACTATCCTCGCTAGTTCTAAAACTGAATTGATTCACCTGCTACAACGAATAGAAGACGTAAGCTTAACGATGGGCCTTAAAATAAACAGGGATAAAACGAGAATCATGATAATTGACAGAGCTAACAACAATCAAAATCATCTGGTTAGGATAAACAATATCGCTGTTGTAGATAAATTTGTGTATCTGGGCTCATTAATAACCAACAAAGGAGGCTGTACTGAAGAAATAAAGCGGCGGTCAGCAATCGCAAAAAGCGCTATGGAAAAATTAACAAAAATTTGGAAAAGCCATGAAATTACTACCGATACAAAAATGAGACTAGTAAGAAGTCTAGTTTTTCCAGTTTTTACTTATGCATCGGAATGCTGGTCCTTTACTGAGAAAGACAAAAAGAACATAGATGTATTTGAGATGTACTGCTGGAGACGAATGCTGAGAATACCATGGGTGGCCCGAAGAACAAATGAATCCATACTGGTCCAGCTAAACATAAAGAAAAGACTAAGAACACAAATAACAGAACAGATAATAAGCTAATTACTATTTATAACTGGGAATAAGCCACATTAAAGATAAAAATACATTTATTGACGTTTCAATTTCCAATTCGGAAATCGTTCTCAAAATACAAATAGTAAATTAAACAAATTTTGTTTTTTGTTACATAGTGAAAAAATTCTTCTGATAATTTAATTTTATCTGACTCATTTATATTGACAATTCAGACATACATTATGCATTTTAAAGTAGACGACTTTAAAATGATATTGCCAATATTGTTGAGTTGCGCTCCTGGGACGACTTTACTTATAAGATAGTTCATTCGATTACATGAAATCAACTTTAACTTGAGAATATCCGTCAGAAAAAATCATAGCATGTAATTCGTCTTTAAAAAGACAAACACATGACATGATGACAGTAAAATTCTCCTGTTAGTGATTCCATAGTAAATTATGAGGGAAAAACCAGGAAAAAAACCTCATAATACTATCCCGACATTGTAAGTATTTGTTCGTGAATTTAGTTTACCTTCAACAAACATCAAAATTCTGATTTTATGTTACGCTATTTAAAAAACATAAATGATGTATCCTCTATATGTTACTGACTTACTAATACTGGTATTTTCTTATTAATAACTTCCTCTTTCAATATTGGTAACCAGATCCTACTACATTCTGCCGAGGAATTTGCGACACAATTGGCCTCATTTAGCATAATTAGAGCCGCTTCTTTGATTTTTCTTTTTTTACCATCCGTTTCTTTTAGGACTATATTTGAATTATTCCATTGAACTCTATGTTCATTATCCCATGCGTGTTTACATATTTGAGATCTATCAAATTCTCTATTTTTAATATAAGATTGATGTTCACTTATTCTAACATTTAATGGCCTTGATGATTCACCTAAATAAAACTGATCGCATTCACAAGGTATTTTATAAATGCAATTCTTTGTCCTTTCTTGTTCATTGTTAGGTTTGGTTTTGGACAAAATAGATCTCAACGTGTTTGTTGTTTTGAATGTTGTTGAAATGTTGAATTTATTTCCTATCCTTTTAAGTTTTTCTGATAATCCTTTTATGTACGGTATTGTTATTTTCCTCATAGTATTCCTTGTGTATGCTGTAGGATCTCGTTCTAAGTTGTTCTGTTCTATTCGATCGATTGTTGAAAATTCCTTATTTATAAACGATAAAGGATAATCATTTTTTAATAAAACAGATGTTAACAAATGTTTCTCCTCCAAGAACGAATTTTCGTTAGAACAAGTAATTTTGGCTCTATCGTATAAGGATTTAATTATTCCCTTTTTTACATTAATATTGTGATTTGATTTGAAATTTAAATATCTATTGGTGTGTGTTGGTTTTCTATACACCTGAGTCTCATATCCAGTATCGTTCTTAGAGATCAAAACATCCAGGAAAGGTAGCGTGTTATTATATTCCTTTTCCATGGTAAATGTTATTGTCTCTTCTTTATCGTTTATATCGTTTAGGAATGTGTCCAACAACTCTGATCCATGAGGCCATATTGAGAATACATCATCTACATACCTCCACCATACTGTGGGTTTGAAATTTTGTTTAGAAATGATATTTGTTTCAAAATCTTCCATAAATATATCGGCTAAGAATGGAGATAAACTAGAGCCCATTGCTAGACCAAAATTTTGTTTATAGAATTCATTATTTAGTTGAAAATATGTATTATCAGTACATAATGTTAATAACTCCATTATAGCCGATATGTTTAGTCTTGTTCTAGTTGCCAATGAATCATCACTCTCTAATTTTGTCTTGACTATACTTAAAGTCTTATTTAATGGCACATTCGTAAATAAACTATTTATGTCAAAACTTACCAAAGTATTATTTGAATTAAATTCAATATTTGATAATTTATTTAAAAAATGTTGTGTATTTTTTATGAATGTGTCATTTTTATTTGTATAAGGTTTTAAAATATTTAATAAAAATTTTGATAGTTCACTACAAGGAGAATTTATGGTACTACAAATGGGTCTAAGTGGTATATTCGTTTTATGAATTTTCGGTACTCCATAAAAATGAGGAGTCTTACTGTAATGAGGTGTAATTAATCCTCTCTGATAACTTGTTAAAACATCTTTAAACTTGAATAAAGTTCTATATATTTTGTTTTCCAAAGGCTTTGTTGGATCTTTTGTTAATTTTGTATAAGGTCCGTTTATTAATAGATCTTTAATTTAATAAAATTAAAGATCTATTAATAAACGGACCTTATACAAAATTAACAAAAGATCCAACAAAGCCTTTGGAAAACAAAATATATAGAACTTTATTCAAGTTTAAAGATGTTTTAACAAGTTATCAGAGAGGATTAATTACACCTCATTACAGTAAGACTCCTCATTTTTATGGAGTACCGAAAATTCATAAAACGAATATACCACTTAGACCCATTTGTAGTACCATAAATTCTCCTTGTAGTGAACTATCAAAATTTTTATTAAATATTTTAAAACCTTATACAAATAAAAATGACACATTCATAAAAAATACACAACATTTTTTAAATAAATTATCAAATATTGAATTTAATTCAAATAATACTTTGGTAAGTTTTGACATAAATAGTTTATTTACGAATGTGCCATTAAATAAGACTTTAAGTATAGTCAAGACAAAATTAGAGAGTGATGATTCATTGGCAACTAGAACAAGACTAAACATATCGGCTATAATGGAGTTATTAACATTATGTACTGATAATACATATTTTCAACTAAATAATGAATTCTATAAACAAAATTTTGGTCTAGCAATGGGCTCTAGTTTATCTCCATTCTTAGCCGATATATTTATGGAAGATTTTGAAACAAATATCATTTCTAAACAAAATTTCAAACCCACAGTATGGTGGAGGTATGTAGATGATGTATTCTCAATATGGCCTCATGGATCAGAGTTGTTGGACACATTCCTAAACGATATAAACGATAAAGAAGAGACAATAACATTTACCATGGAAAAGGAATATAATAACACGCTACCTTTCCTGGATGTTTTGATCTCTAAGAACGATACTGGATATGAGACTCAGGTGTATAGAAAACCAACACACACCAATAGATATTTAAATTTCAAATCAAATCACAATATTAATGTAAAAAAGGGAATAATTAAATCCTTATACGATAGAGCCAAAATTACTTGTTCTAACGAAAATTCGTTCTTGGAGGAGAAACATTTGTTAACATCTGTTTTATTAAAAAATGATTATCCTTTATCGTTTATAAATAAGGAATTTTCAACAATCGATCGAATAGAACAGAACAACTTAGAACGAGATCCTACAGCATACACAAGGAATACTATGAGGAAAATAACAATACCGTACATAAAAGGATTATCAGAAAAACTTAAAAGGATAGGAAATAAATTCAACATTTCAACAACATTCAAAACAACAAACACGTTGAGATCTATTTTGTCCAAAACCAAACCTAACAATGAACAAGAAAGGACAAAGAATTGCATTTATAAAATACCTTGTGAATGCGATCAGTTTTATTTAGGTGAATCATCAAGGCCATTAAATGTTAGAATAAGTGAACATCAATCTTATATTAAAAATAGAGAATTTGATAGATCTCAAATATGTAAACACGCATGGGATAATGAACATAGAGTTCAATGGAATAATTCAAATATAGTCCTAAAAGAAACGGATGGTAAAAAAAGAAAAATCAAAGAAGCGGCTCTAATTATGCTAAATGAGGCCAATTGTGTCGCAAATTCCTCGGCAGAATGTAGTAGGATCTGGTTACCAATATTGAAAGAGGAAGTTATTAATAAGAAAATACCAGTATTAGTAAGTCAGTAACATATAGAGGATACATCATTTATGTTTTTTAAATAGCGTAACATAAAATCAGAATTTTGATGTTTGTTGAAGGTAAACTAAATTCACGAACAAATACTTACAATGTCGGGATAGTATTATGAGGTTTTTTTCCTGGTTTTTCCCTCATAATTTACTATGGAATCACTAACAGGAGAATTTTACTGTCATCATGTCATGTGTTTGTCTTTTAAAGACGAATTACATGCTATGATTTTTTCTGACGGATATTCTCAAGTTAAAGTTGATTTCATGTAATCGAATGAACTATCTTATAAGTAAAGTCGTCCCAGGAGCGCAACTCAACAATATTGGCAATATCATTTTAAAGTCGTCTACTTTAAAATGCATAATGTATGTCTGAATTGTCAATATAAATGAGTCAGATAAAATTAAATTATCAGAAGAATTTTTTCACTATGTAACAAAAAACAAAATTTGTTTAATTTACTATTTGTATTTTGAGAACGATTTCCGAATTGGAAATTGAAACGTCAATAAATGTATTTTTATCTTTAATGTGGCTTATTCCCAGTTATAAATAGTAATTAATTTACAATGCCACAAGAAAATAGCTTCAGAACAATAGATAATAAGCTATTTTGGACATGTGCTTCGAAGAAATGGTCTTGAAAAACCTACCATCCAGGGAAAAGTAGAAGGCAAAAGAAGTAGAGGTAGATCTCCTACACGATACACGGACCATATTGTTGCTACCATCGGCGCTCCATTGTCAGAATGTGCTAGATTGGCAGAAGATAGAAAAACGTGGAGGAACATTGGAAAAATTACCTAACAGCTTCATGATATCACGATACCTGCATCAGGTTAACGACTAAGAAGAAGAGGCCTTCGAAATGTGGATATATAGAAGAATTTTGAAAATACCTTGGACAGACAAAATAACAAATAGTGTAGTTCTTCGAAGAGTGAACAAAAAATGGGAGCTGTTGATCACCATCAAAAAAAAAGCTGGAATATCTTGGTCATGTGATGAGAGGGAAAAAATAGCGATTGCTCCAGTTAATTATCCAAGGAAAGATTCAGGGCAAACGAAGCGTGGGGAGACGACGTATATCTTGGCTGCGCAATTTAAGAGACTGGTTCCAGTGCATATCTAACCAATTATTTAAAGCAACAACTTCAAAGATACGAATAGCAATGATGATTGCCAAACTCCGTAGCGGAGAGGGCACTTGAAGAAGAAGTAGGTACTAGCCTCCTCAAGAATCTCTCTTCGGTCGTCCATATCCATCGCCTTCCTTCGCCAAGCACGTATTCCCATATTTCTCATATCTTCATTGATGTTATCAAGGACCCTTGTTCTGCGGTTTTGGTTTTTCTAGCTGCGTCATATTGTTCCATCCGCATTACATGTCATAACCACCTCAGACGTCCTATCTTAATATGTTTTACGGTATCTGGTTCCTGGTATATTCCACAAAGTTTGAAGTTGCATCGTCTTTTCCACGCTCCATTGTCATTCACTGCTCCATAGATTCACCTTATTACTTTTCTTTCAAAACATCCTAACATGTTTTTATTACTCTTTGTTAGAGTCCAGGACTCTGAACCATATATAAGGACTGGGCGTATTATTGTTTTATAGAGTTTTATTTTTGTATTTCTCGATATATTTGTGGATTTAAGGAGGAGATTGGGCCCAAAATAGCATCTGTTGGCCGCGCAAATTATGGGGTTTATCTCTGCGGTAGTATTATTTTCAGTGTTAAGGAGCGCTTCCAGGTATACAAATTCGTTCACTGCTTCGATATCGTCGTTTTCTAGAACAAGTGGTCGTAGGATTTGTGGTCGCCTGCTTATTTTTATATATTTCGTTTTGATGATCTTTATTATTAAACCCTTTTTGTAGCTGATATTTTTAATGCTACATACTGTATATTGATATCATCAGCATAGGCAAGGATTTGCACTGATTTAATATATATTAAACCATTGATTGTGATTTGTGACATACCTATTACTTTTCCCAGAAGAGCCAGACTAAAGAGTATACACGAGAGAGTTGTCTCTCTGGCGCAGCCCGTTATTTTTATTTTTTTTTTTTTCAAGGTTCAAACAGTTCCCCCTGAATTCGTACTCTATATTCAACTTTTTCAAGAGTTAGTTTTGTTAAATTTACCAACTGATTTGGTATTCCTAGCTCGTTCATTGCTTTGGCTTAAGGAATATTACATTGGAGTATTTTGCAAGCTTGTCGATCTTCTTCTGCATATAGTTGCTACGTTAATTTAGGAGACAAATCTCGTCTGTAAGCAGGAGTTTATCCAAGGCTTTTCGATTACTGTATTAACAAATGTTATTTTATATTAAAGATTTGTATATATTTTAGCCTTTGGCAGTACCGGCTTCATCTGTGACGACGACTTCAGCATAGTCGACGCCAATGTCATTTGTAGAGAACTAGGATTCCCGCTAGGAGCAGCTGAAGTGAAAGGTCAATCGTACTTTGCCAAAGACCTAAAAGAAAGAAACACCTTATATATGATAGACGACCTAAACTGCGTCGGCAATGAAAGTACCGTCATCGATTGTACGTTCCCTGGTTGGGGAATGCACAACTGCAGAGACCAAGAAATAGCTGGAGTAGTGTGTAAAACTCCACAAAAGAAATGCGGAAGTGATAAATGGAAATGTGATAGTGGAAATGAGTGTATTCCGTTTGAGTTCGTTTGCGATGATGTCGAAGATTGTAACGATGATTCCGATGAAGCTGTCCAACATTGTGAGGTATTTAAATCAGTTTTATGAATTAAAAATTATTAAAAAAAAGAATAAGATATCAAAGGAAAATACTTCAGTTTTCCTTTTTAATTTGTTGGCCATTATTCTGCTTATATTTAAAATTCTTTTAAAAAGCTAACTTCATTATAACATTAGCCCAGCTTCTTTTCCCTTTCGAAATATTTGAGAAATCCTTGACGTAATTGCTTGTTTTTAATTTTTAATCAGAAATAATCATCGATAAATAATTTTTCTCGCTATCTACTGAACGTGTAAGAAAGAAATAAACCGTCGAAAAATATTATGAAAAAAAAGTGGAACAGTTGGCGGTACTGTAGACCAATGCGAAGCTTCATACTAAGTTTTCTGTAATTTTAAAATTTAAATAATATATTTAAAATTAAGTAAAGTAATTTCACTATTTATTTATTTTTTATATTTTAAACAAATTCTATAAATTATTGTTTATAATTGTTTATAATATATTGACAGAACAGCAAGAGATACTTAGAAGATGGACAGAACATTTTAAGGAAAAGCTCGGGGTGAATAGGACGGAGATGAACCCTGATATACCGTTAGACCAAGCAGACAACAGAGAAAAGAGTCCACCAACAATAGCAGAGATTAGAACAGCAGTGGACAAATTAAAGAACAATAAATCACCGGAATCGGATCAAATATCATCGGAGCTACTGAAAGAAGGAGGAGATGCATTACTTAAAGCCATACATGAGCTGATAAGAAAGATATGGTTGAATAAACAGCTACCAAAGGAGTGGAATAGCGGCATTATTGTACCACTACATAAAAAAGGAAACCAGTTAGAATGTGAAAACTACCGTGGAATCACGCTGTTGAATGCGGCATACAAAATAATGTCCAACGTAATGTATGAAAGACTTTGACCATACGCTGAAAAAATAGTTGGCAAATACCAATGTGGCTTCTGTAGACAGAAGTCAACAATAGACCAGATATTTTTTCTGCGACAGATCCTTGAAAAAACAAGTGAATATAACATCGACACACATCATCTCTTCATAGACTTCGAAAGCGCATATGACAATATAAACCGAGAATTCCTAACAAAAGCAATGAAAGAATTTAATATACCAACACAGCTAATAGAATTGATAAAAGAAACACTAAAAGTAGAAAGTAAAATTCGGATACAAAACGAATTAACGGAAACAATATATGTGAAGAAGGGACTACGCCAAGGAGACGCTCTATCATGCATATTATTCAACATCATACTTGAAAAAATAATAAGAGACACAACAGTTAATACCCGAGGAACAATAATTAATAAAAGCGTGCAAGTACTAGCATTTGCAGATGATGTTGACATAATCGCAAGATCAAGAAGAGAAATGATAGAGGCATTCACTCAAATAGAACGAGCTGCAAAAATAGTGGTCTTAAAATCAATCAGACAAAAACAAAATATATGCCTGCAAATAAAAACGCACAAATAAGGCAGCTGCCAAATTTAACAATAGGAGAATACAACATTGAGGCGGTAAAAAACTTTACATACTTAGGATCCCTAGTTACGTCTGATAACAACGTTGCAGAGGAAGTGAAGAGGAGAATATTTATTGCCAATAAATGTTACCATGGCTTAATTAGGCAACTAAGATCAGATAACGTCTCCAGAAAAACAAAATGCCAAATATACAAAACCTTAATAAGACCGGTACTCACATACGGTTCAGAAACCTGGATACCCTCTAAAAGGGAGGAAACGTTATTAGCCACCTTTGAAAGAAAAATCTTGCGACACATATATAAGGCACAAAAGAAAACGGGATTTGGCGGAGAAGGTATAACTTTGAACTATACAACATATACCAGGATCCGGATATCATAACATTCATTAAAATAGGAAGGCTACGTTGGATTGGACATGTGGAGAGAATGGAAGAAGGCGAAATACCAAACAAAATATTCAAACAAGTGCCAGTAGGAAAAAGAACAAGAGGAAGACCGAAGCTGAGATACGTAGAACAAATAGAAAATGATATAACAACATTAAAAATTAAAAACTGGAAAAAAAAGCACGAAACAGGTCAGAATGGAGAAGAATCCTTGAACAGGCCAAGACCCAAAAAGGGTTGTCGAGCCAGTGATGATGATGATGATAAATTATTGTTTGCTCCCAACGCCACCTATTAACATATTAACAAAGTATACGTTATTTACTTATGACAAACCTATCAGATTCAGACTAAATAATAATAAACAAATATAAATAAATATCATTTGATAGTAAATTTAATTGTTCTTCTTCTTCTTCTTTTTATATAGACATGACTTTGTCTGTTGTTCAATGTGCCTCCAGTAAGTCATTTCATATTTTTCCTGGTCTTCCTACTGATCGTGTTCCTATTGGGGAATCCATCTCTTGCCATCTTTACTACTCTATTTGTTGTCATTCGACTTATATGATCGTTCCATTCTACACTTCTATGTCTAACCTAGTTTTTGATGTTCTCCACCTTGCATCTACATCGTATATCTGTACTTCTAGCTCTGTCCCATAGTGTCTTACCATCAATTGTTCTAAGTGTTTTAATCTCTGCCGTTTCTTTTGTCCTCTCTGTGTCAGGTCTTGTTTCTGATACGTGTGTCATTATTGGTCTGATGACTGTTTTGTAAATTCTGCCTTTCGTTTTTTTCCCGATATTTTTATTTCTCAATATTGTTTCATTTAGGCAGCCTGCGGCTCTCGTTGCTCTATTTCGGTTTCGAGATTTCCGTAGCTATATAATGTAATGACTAGATATTTAAACTCCACCGCTTGTTCTATTATCTGACCTTCCAGCTCCAATTTACATCTTAGTAAATTTGCTGTTGTAACCATGCATTTTATACTTTTTGGGGAAATTAACATGTTAAATTTTTTGGCGGTTATATTAATTTGATGCAGCATACGTTGTATATCATCTTCACTTGAGAGAGTAGTGTTGCGTTGTCTGTATAGCAGATTATTTTAAGTTGTTTTTCTCCCATTTGGTATTCTTTTTTAGTTCTTACTTTTTTTATTATTTCTTCCATAATCAGGTGGAACAATAGAGAACTCAGAGAAACTCTCCGTCTTACCCCATTGCCAGCTTCAATAGGGTCGGTTAGTTCTTCTTCTACTTTTACTTTTATTGTGTTATTTTCGATTGTTTTGATTATTCCTAGAGGTATATCTCTTGCATACAGTAAGTAGATGACGTCTTTTAATTTTACCTGGTCAAATACCTTTGTAAGGTTCACTAAACATAGATATGCCGGTTTGTTATATTCTAATGATTTCTCTTGCACTTGCCTCATTATAAATATAGCGTCGGTGCATGATCTTCCCGGCCTAAAACCTTGTTGTTCTTTTGCTAGTGTTATAATTCCATTCAATTTATTTGTTATCACTTTCGTTGTTAATTTTAGTGTTGTGCTTAATAAATTAATTTCTTTGTAATTTTCTGTGTCCGATTTATCTCCCTTTTTGAAGAGAGCTGTTAGGATGCCTGATCTCCATTTTTGATTGATCTGTTTTGTTCTATTATTTTTTGGATAAGTTTTAATAGTTGTTTGGTCAGATCTGGTCTTCCGTACTTTAGAAATTCGTTAGGTATTCTGTCCTCTCCTGGTGGTTTTCTATTTTTTAATTTCCTTAATGCTTCATGTACCTCTTTCTTCTCAATATTTGTTTCTTCGTTTGTTGTTACCTGGTTGTCATGGTGTTGGTGGTTCATCATCGTCACCTTTAGCAAATAGTTTCCTTCTGAATGTGTTTCGTTTTTATTAGTTCATTCATCTCTTTTCTTTGTCCTCTGATCATTCTCATATTTCTTTTTGTGTTCTGTAGAAGTCGTGTTCCATCTGTTTTGAGAAACTCTGCCGGTCTTCCTTTTTTATTTGTCTAACTAAAGTATTCGTTTCTTTTATGATTCGTATAGTGGTTGTATGCCTGTTGTGTTTGTTGTGTTTGTTGTGTTCTGTATTGTAAAAAGTCTGTTTTTTTTCTTTACATTTTGTCTTCACTTTCTCTCTAAACCATGACGTTTTTTTTATATGTTAGCGTTCGTTACTTTCCTCTCTCCAAGTGATTCTGTTGCTGCGTTAATTATATTATTTTTGAGTTTTATCAGCTTTCCTCGATGTTATTGTTTTCTAATATTTCATTCCCAGCGATCTTCTCTGATATTCTTTTCATGTATAAGTATTTCGTCCATTCCGTATTTAGTCCTTCGACTTTGATTTTTGTTTGTGTTGGAGCCGTTCTCGTGGGTGGGAGATCTTTCAGGATGATTTTTATTTTACATAATACTAGGCTATGGTCACTACCTATATCTAAATGTATATTTGTGTTGGTCTTTGTGGTCAAAAAATATGTTGTTTATTCTTAGTTCATTATTCGTGCAGAATGCTTTATTCGTTTAATGCCGGGTATTTGATTGCCTATTGAAGCTTTAAAATCCCCCAATATTAACCTCTTCCCTCGGACTTGACTGTACTTGTTGTAATTGGTCGTAAAACGCTTTCCTTGTTATTTGAGGCTTGTTATTTTCTGTTATGTTCAGGTATTTTTTCTTCATTCTTATCTTTGCTGTTGCTATTCTTTCTGATATGAATTGACACTCTTTGATGTGATTTTGGTACCTTTGGTGTATTAGTGAGGCTACACCTTCTTTGGCCCTGTTTTCTTTTGCTACTTCTACTCTCCTACTCTACTAATCTGTAGATTAGTATGTATTCACCTAATTTTGGTTGACCTTTTCCTTTCTCTTTTGTTTCCTGTAGAGCACAAATATCTATTTCTTTCTCTTTCAGCACTTGGGTTATTTCTTGGTCCCTTGAGTTGAGTGATCTGATATTCCAAGTAGTAATTTAATTGTATTAATGTTTTAGAATTATAAAAATTTAAACAGATGATTTAATGTTGTTATTAATCGGATGACATTTATGACTTTTATTTAATTTTGACAGTCATTATAAATCGAATCTGTTTAGTAACAAATATTCTTTTAATTTTTTACTTCTTATTTAATGTCAATATTTTGTTAGTTATTTTTCATGCATTTTTTAATTTAAACCTTCTTTTTCTCGTGCCACTCCTAGTGGAGATTGGAAATCATCATGGCCACTGCGACTTTGTTAGCAGCGCGCCTAAAAAGTTCAATCGAACTACACCCGAACCATTCACGTAGATTACGAAGCCACGATATTTTTCTTCTTCCCACACTTCTTTTGCCCTTAATTTTGCCCTGCATGATGTTTCTTAAAAGTTCATACTTTTCACCTCTCACAATGTGCCCCAAGTATTCCATCTTTCTAGTTTTTATCTCATTTAGAATTTCGCATCTTTTGTCTAAAGTTTGGAGTACTTGCATGTTAGTGACGCAGTCCATCCATGATATTCTGAGAATGCGCCTATAGCACCACATCTCGAAAGCTTCGATGTTTTTTATGGTCAACTGTTTTAGTGTCCAAGCCTCAACTCCATATAACAGGGTAGAAAAGACATAACACCGCAGCATTCGTATTCGTAACTTTATATTGATATCACGATTGCAAAAGAGTTTGCGCATTCTATTAAAGACTGATCTAGCGATTTCTATTCTACATCTAATCTCTTTTGTTTGATCAGTATCGTCTGTGATCCAAGCACCTAGATATTTATAACAGGGCACACGCTCAATCGTTGTATTGTCTATTACAAGATTAGCTCTGATGTTCTTTGATTTCGTGATTACCATAAATTTAGTTTTTTTCAAATTAATTTTCAAGCCGTAACTGTTACAGTATATATTGAGCCTTTGAACGAGATGTTGCAGTTCTACTAGCGTTCGCGTTAGGAGATCTGCGATTCTTATATTGTTGGTCGTCTCATCATTTATTATCAGACCAAGATCTTCTTCCTCGAGTGCTTGTTCACAGATAGCTTCACTATACAGATTAAATAAAAGGGGCGATAAGATACATCCCTGCCGGACTTCTCGACGGATTTGAATTTCTTCTGTTAGTCTGCCGTCAACCTTGACATTTGCTGTTTGATTCCAATATAGATTGCATATAATTCGAATATCTCGGCTGTCTATATTTTTCTTTATTAGAACTGATGAGTCATGCTCTAAAACTGTTCTTAAAAATAATCCATAATAGGATCTATAGGAAATTAGACGTAGACATCAGTAACACTCAGATGGGATTCAGAAAAGGGCTGGGTACAAGGGAGGCTCTGTTTACAATGAACGTTCTCTCACAGAGATGCTTAGACATGAACCAAGAAATTTACGCCTGCTTTATTGATTTCGAAAAGGCCTTTGACAAAGTACAACATGAACCACTAAGAGAAGTTCTAATAAAGAAAAATATAGACAGCCGAGATATTCGAATTATATGCAATCTATATTGGAATTTAAACCTGCTAAAGTTAATATATGATGACTAGAAACGAATTCATCGATGTCAAGAACCGCTATTTTATTACGCCACCAGTGACGAGCCATCTTGTAGCGCTATTTCCGTGACGCCCGCCTCAGCGTTTTACGGTTGAGAAAAAAAGTAATACAACGCCAGTATAGAAACTTCGCTTCAAAAACTATACGACTTTATTATTTCAAATGTATTTTTTTATGTTCATAAATTTTAGGCACCCACCGAATTGCGCCTTGTAGGAGGTACTTATCCCGGAGAAGGACGAGTTGAAATCAAACACAACGGTATCTGGGGAACTATTTGTGACGACGACTTCAACGAAGATGCAGCTAAAGTGGTGTGCAAGTCCTTGGGATACAAAGGCAAGAGTTTTGTTAAAAAGGATGCTTTCTTTGGGGCAGGTAAGACAGTATTTTTGCACTCCTTGTGTAAGCACCTATTGTAATCACCAATAACAGCAATTGTGACAATTTACTTAGTCTCTTCACTAATACAATTTTGGTTTTGAGCTAAGTAATTAACATTTAAGGCATCTGTGCGTGACGATATTTAGTTACAATGTACGGATTAAGCAAATGATTTGAATGCTGCAAAAAATTTAAAATGTCCTTGATTAAAATGCTTTTTTACTCAAGCCATCCATATGGAATATCTTTGTTTATTCATAAATTTTGTTTATTGTTTATTAAGGTTTTGGGCCCATATGGCTCGATCAAGTATCTTGTTATGGCAACGAGACCGAGCTAAATACATGCACACACTGGGACTGGGGCGAGCACAATTGCGAACATAGTGAAGACGTGGGGGTGATCTGCTCACAGGATGCAACAGAAGTCCAGGTAAGTTACTGTTGTAATATTGTTCGATGTAGACATAACATTTATTTCTGATCTGAATTTTTCAATTGACAAACCAGATTTCTTTATCCAGTTCGATACGGTTTTACTTAGTTATAGCTATTAAACTATAAACTATTAAACTCATATAGTTTACGGATTAAAATGCATCGAATTTGGGTAAAAAAAGCTTACGACTTCCTTTCTGATGTTTTGATCAGGGCTTCTGGGATCTCAATCTTTTGAGTTCATAGATCACTTTACTAGTAAAGCGTTCACTACACTACTACTTCTTATAGTTTCATTGTCCTTTGAGATGAAGTGTTTCTGTGTTTCTTGTTTGGGTGATCTGAGAGTATTGTTTAGGTAAATTTTGTCACCTCTACATGACGTACTTGTGATTTGAGGAAGGCGGCACTGGTTTTTGGTTATTGGTCCTGGTGTTGTTTTGGTGGTGGTTTATTAGGGTTCTTCGGGGGAGAGTGTCTTCAGAGAATATTCAGAGGAGAAAGGGCTTGTACTCAATCACAGCCGGATGTACGTTTTGTATATTATGTCTATAAGTGTTTAAGTTTGCATCCGTCTGAGTGTTCCACGTCGAGCGTTGAGTAGGCCAACGCTTTTCCTATCCCTGCTATGGGTTTTGATCAGTTTTGTCTCCGGTTCAGTGCTTTGGTAATTACTACGTACCTACTGCGTCCCTAGGTACTCGATCTGATCCCTGCATTGGAGTCGGTCGTCACATAGCCTCAGGTAGATTTTGTCTTCTGCAAGTTGTATAATATAACATACTTGTAATTCCGAGAGTTCATGTTTCCACTCCTTATAGCAATATGGAATAAATAAACGTTTTTACAAATTGGTATCAGATATCCAACGATAACGTAGAGTTTATTAGGAATTAGGAATTCGTTTAAATGCGGACCTAGCATATTCTATACGAGCACGTATTTAGGCCTCGTGGTCAAGATCGTTTGTTATCCAGCAACCAAGGTACTGGAATATTTGTACTGGTTCTATATGTTTGTTATAGATACGAATATTAATGTCGACATTTGGTTCACGTGTAACAGCCACTACTTTTGTTTTATTTGTGTTTTATTTAGTCCCAAGCTATCTCCCTCTCTGGTCATAACATTCAAAAGTCGTTGTAAACCCTCAGCACTGTCCGCAATAATGACGGTGTCGTCTGCGTATCTTAAGTTGTTTACGTATCGATAGTATTAGGTATTACTCTCCATCTCCCGCACCACCTATCTATATGGATTAGGTGATTTTGAGCGTACCTTTGTAAGACATCTGTATCTCGTGTTGTTGTTATGAGAGCAGTGTTGTCTGATAAAGTAGTGTGAGTTTTCTGTATTTTTAGAATTGGAGAAGTTGCTGTTGTATAGTGTATATAGGATGGGCGCCAAGATGGAACCTAGTGGCACTTCTATTGTAAGGGTAAAGAAAGTTGATAGTCCTGTATCAGGATACAGAATGGGAAACAAATTATTATGTACTACAAATAGGGAAAATTCAATGATAGTAAAAATTCTGTAAGTGTTCATACAAAATGCAAATCGTTGAAACGTTTGAACAATAATCAATTCTTTTATTAATTCCAGATCGATAAACCATGAAAATTTTAAATAAACTATTCCATTTATTTCTTTTTAGAATGAAAGACACTCAAATCTACCCACAAGGATTGAAGAAGGATTACCCAAAAACTGTGGCTTTAGGAAAGACAATCAGTTTGCCATCAACGATTTAATTCAGGCAAGAGTGATAGGAGGAGGTGTTGCTAAGAAAGGAGATTATCCTTGGCAGGTAAGCCTAAAGCAAATCACAACGATTTTGATGGTGATTCTACTGTAAGTTCTGGGTAAAAAATTTTAAAAACAAATTTCCTTTGAATCTTCTAAAAAAGATTCTCTCTCCTCATATCACCCAATAGTTAGTTCTTTAAACTGTTTGTTCTTATCTCGTGTTATGTAAATGTATCAGTTAATGTTTATGACACTCACTATATATTGTTGGATAGCCTAATCTCGACGAAATGCCCTTGAAGATGCTCTAGGAGCGAAAGTACTTGGGCAAGATTTAATAAAGACTGTGCTCAATATCTGCCTTTTATTTAATTGTAAAACAAATTGCTGCTAAAAATAATTATCGAGATTGCTTTTAATACTTTTAATTGAGGTTAAATGACAAGACTCCCCAATATACCCTCTTTTTTAAAATAAATTATCTTCAAATGCTTAATGTATGCATTCAATTCTTCATTGTAGTTTATTTTTTAGGTTTGAGATTATATTTTCATCTATTTTCTTAACAAGAACGATCTAGCTTTTCTTCTGGATTCCTGTTATCTTTTTTAACTTTTTTACATATTGATGCTACCATATGTCTTATTCTTTTTATTTCTTCATATCGTTGATTAATCCATATTTCATTACCATCTGTTGTTTTCCTTGTTTTTTTTTTGTATAGTTTTTGTACTTCTCTTGATAATTTTTATTTTTCGCACCTTTGTTCCTTTATCTTCAATATCTTTTGTGATATTAACAGTTTGTTGTTCTTATTAGTTTTTGTTAGATATTAATTAACCTCTGTTTTTTTTGTTGTATTTATATAAGTTACCTTTTCATTAATTTTGTTCCATAATACCTACTATTTATTTGATGTTATACGTTAATAAGATTTTTCATTTCTTTCTACATATATGGTCTAATGCTCTCATTTCTGTTTATATCTTCTTCTTCCTTTAGCTTTTTCCTTATCTGGGGTCGCTGTTCCTTACTATTCTTCGTACACATTTCTCTTCATCGTATCTTCTTTATTTAAACCTTTCTCTTGTAAGTCCTCTGCCGCACAGTCCTTCCATTTTCTCCTTGGTTTTCCTCAATATATCTGTTCCTTTACAGCTACCTCCATCTTCTTTTTCTGAACCCTCTTTACAAATCACACTTCACCTCCATACACCAACGCAGGCCTCACCACACTCTTGTATATATTTCCTTTTAACCAACAATTTTTTATTCATAAAGTACCCCGCTCATTTGCTTCCAGTTATACCAGCTTGCCTGTATCCTGTGGGAGATTTCTCGATCTAGCGTTTCATTTTCCGTTATGTAGGAGACAAAATATTTAAATTTTCCTACTCATCTTAGTTTTCCACAAGCAATTCGATATCCCCAACCATTCTTGTTTTTCTCAGCCACATATACTCAGGTTTTCGACCTGCTAACCCCAAGTCCTCCCTTCCAATATTCTTTGCTCCACTCCACTAACACGATATTATCCACAAAGAGATAGTATATCCATGACAAGATTAAACAGGTAGGGACTCAGTGAAGAGCCTTGATAAAAACCAACCGTCACTGGAAAACTTTCGGTCAATCCGATACATATTTTGGTGTACGCTTTCTCATACATTTTCTCCTTCAAGGGCCTTACGTACTTATCAGGAACTCATTTATTTTTCAAATAGTTAAATAGCTCTTGTCGAGGAACTGTGCCGTACGCCTTGTCAAGATTTATAAATACTAAAATGTAGTTCTCCTTTTTCCCGCCGTATTTCTCTATCAACTGTCTCAAAAGAAACTGGGCGACGTTGTCCTCCTTCTTGGTACTAACTTAACCTATTTTCTTATATCGATGTATCTCTTCTATTTCCCCATTGTGCTCATTCTTAAATATTTCCTTTATCTTTATACAGTTATACCATCATGCTCTCTCTCCTTGTATTGGGCATCTTTCCTTCCTGATATATCCTACGCATCATTTTCCATTAAACGTCAATTCCTTTCTCTTCTAGGGCCTTTCAAACCTCCACAGGTATTCCATCAGGTCCTTCTACCTTATCATTCTTCATCCTTTTTAAAGCCTTGACAACTTCATCTCCCGTTATCGCCGGTTATATATTATCATTTGAGGTTTCGTATCCTCCGCCTCTCCTCTGATGTAACTTTAGAGGAGTATCTAATTTATATTAACTTCCTAACTAACTCTATTTTATTTTTCTTTTTATAAATTAATTTTAAGAGATTTTTTGTTTTTTTTTATTAAAGCCTCAATCACAGAGACCACAATTATGATCTAAACATCTCCTACACATTACACATTATGATATAGTCTATAAAGTTTCCAAGATTTTTTGTTTTTCTGTGTTTGTATAGTTTCTTGTAGTCTGTATAAATAAATGGTATTCATTATTAATGTACTGGGATACTCTTTTTTATCCTAATTTGCTTTATAATCTTTTTCTCCACTTTTCCAGGAAGTTCTAATTTTCAGTCAATATTTCCTAAAATATCACATCGTCGTCATATCTAAACATTAAAAAATGTCGACACAATATATACGAAATTCTACCATAATCTTTAAATTCTTTGATTAATCGTATCATCGCATCCTTGCAGAATATTAAAGTTTGTTAGCATTAGTTGTAGTAATACACAATATTTTTATACACTCACCTTTTAATCACTTTCAGGCGGCTCTTAAAGTTAGAGTCAAAGACAAATCCGCCCACTGGTGTGGAGCCATTATCATCTCCAGCAGATGGGTTTTAACCGCAGCCCACTGTCTACAGGGTTACACTAAAGGCGCCTACGTGATCGTTGCCGGTGATTATAACACAGACGACAACGACGGAAGCGAGCAACAGAAATATATCGATGAGTTCTTCGTGCATGAGCAGTTCAGGAAGGGACACAAACTCAACAACGATATTGCTCTGATAAAAGTAAAAGGTACTGGATTCGTTCTGAATGACGACGTCCAACCTATTTGTTTGGCTGATGCTAGTACAGATTATAGTAAGCAGATGAATTGTACTATATCTGGATTCGGATCGATCAAAAGTGGGGTTTCAGGTAAGCGAATAATTCTTCATTTAAACAAAGTAGATATTGGAACACCTTTAGTTTTATGTACTCTAAAAAATAAAGTGTATAAGACACTAGTTCAACTAATCATGATGCAGAAACAAGGTATTACACAATTATTTAGAACAGTGCAAATAATGTAAACAACAAATAAAAATACTACGAAGAATAACAGGCAAAACATTATATTACAAAAAAAGATAAAAAAAGATTAGGATGCAACAAAAAAAATGAAAAGTAGAATAAAAAATTGATAAAATGGCGAAAAGTAGAATAGCAAGAATATTGCACGAATGTATTCGATGAATTCTTAAAGGAGATAAGTGATGTAAAAAAGTAAGATAAGTCTATTGTAAGACCTTTTATAAAACTAATAAAGGCAATTAAACAAAATTATGCGAGATTTGCCAATTTGAAGTGCCAAACGTTTTCATAATAAAATTTCGTTTATTACCAGCTTAAAATTAAAGAAATTAGCTATTATTAATCCCTTGCAAAAGGTGTAAAATTTTTGTAGACGTTTGTTTGTCTCCGTATTTAAGTTTGTATTCAGTTATCAGTACCTGACGAGTCCAAACCAGGTCGAAATGATATAGTCTGGTATTGTTTACCAATTTAAGAACAAAGACTGAGAATTCAGTGATATTAGAAGTGTTACATCCAGAGATAATAATGTCTTGAACTTAATTTTTTTGGCACCATGGTAGATTGACAACAAGAATGAAACAATAACGTTGGCAAGAATTGTTATTAACATCTAATTTAAAAAAAAAACTAATATGTGTTTGGCGACCCCATAGCTCAATACACTCTTGTATATGTCTAGGCATTGACAAAATGAGATAATCAATGTCTGCGTGTGGCACCTCGTTCCAAGCATGGATTTATGGATTAACTATTCCAGAGTCTGTGAAGGATGGTGCAAAGTGAACAGTTTTCTTCCATCATATCCCATACATGCTCGATAGGATTTAAATCTGGTGAACGGGGTGGCCAGTTTCTTCTTTAATAAAGTCCATAGTTCATTGTCCTGCTGAAAAAGGACGTGTTGACGGCCGTCTAGATAAGGTAATAAAGTGGTTTGTAAGATGTTCTCGAATAAACACAAATGGCGATCGGCTATCATAGGCAACCAAACCATTACTGCAGCTGTCCTGTATACATATCCCTTAACAGCAAACAAGATATCTCGTCGCTCTTTACGGCGGCGTCTTACCATCATGCATTCCTAAACAAAATCGCGATTTATTGTTAAATGTTACATTATGCCATTCTGCCACCCAATGCTGCCGTTCTCTCCACCAATTCAAACGTTGATGACAGTGGTCCGCTGTGAAAGGAAGCACTAGTCATGAACGGAATGAAACCAGTTCAAAGGCTCAAATGAGATGGTATAGTGTACGCATACTAACAGGTCTACCTTCTACTCCAAACCATTGGTCAACGATTTGACGCGTAGTAGCAAAACATTCTCGCAGAGCCAGTGGTCTAAAGCGCCTATCTTGATGCTCTGTGGTACGCCTCGGTTGACTAGTTGCTTTTCTTCGTTTTCTTCTAGCTTCCTTTGTACACACACGAGACACACACATAACCGTCATTGACGTACAATTAACACCACGGCCAATTTTGTGATACAACAGACCAATATCTCTATAGACAATTCTACGCCTGTCATAATCGCTAGCATGGTGATAATTTTGGTATCTTCAAACTCGAGGCATTTTCTTACACTCAATAGAATTAGACTGAGGACGACGGTTTAGTACTAGCATCTTCAACAAATGACCTTAAATACATCATAAATAGACTAGATACTATTAATCGTGAATATGGACTTAAAAATAATGTGCAGAAGACCAAGGTGCTGATAATCGATCAAATTAGAAATAACCAGCCGGAAATACGAAACATAAGGGGGTTTGAATTGGTAAGTCGTTTCAATTACTTAGGTTCTGTTATCACAAATAATGGTGGGTGCGAAGAAGAGATACGTCGACGCCTTACAATGGCCAGACCACCAACGGTCAAACTTACTAAAATCTGGAAAGATAAGGACATAAGCAGGGACACGAAACTTCGTCTAGTACGGAGGCTTATCTTTCCTATCGCTACCTATTCGTAAGAAACTTGGACCATTAAAAAGTCCGACTCGCGTATAAAATGGCCTTTGAAATGTGGGTACATCATAGAATGATGCGCATATCCTGGACAGCACATTGCACAAATGTCTCAATATTGACGAATATTCTCGACATCAATACTAGGCTTACCACAATCATCAACCAAAATATATTGAGTTACTTTGGACACATTACCAGACGAATTAAAGGAATGAAGAGGTTGGTGGTTGAAAGTAAGGTAGATGGTAAAAGAACTCGAGGAAGAGCGCCACGTCGATGGTCAGACCAACTAAAGTGCGCTACCGGTTACTCTCTGTCTGAGGCAGAACACCGCGCCCAGAAGAGAGAAGAATAAATAGCAACCATTCATCAAATACCATAACGTCACCACATCCTTACGAAGGATAAAGGATAGAGGAGGAGGAGGAGGAATAATATCTAAAAATTTCTGTACTTTTCATTGTCAAGTCAAATTAGTTCTGCTTCTTCATGATATTTGAAGAGAACTCATTTCAAGGCTATTGTAGGTCGTGCTTAAATATCTTGCCGGGCTTCTTGTAATCGGTCCTATGCGCATGCGAATGGGCGGGATTTTTAATTTAATTTGTACGTTTTTCTGTGGAATTGGTTTTTGGGTATCATCTCTTGTCTTTAAATATATTGGATGTTGTTATTACTTCCCTGATTACACGTTTGGTCCTATTTTCAATGTAAGCTAACATCGTTGTTTATTTTAATTTTATGTCCTGTGTTTACGGCATGCTGTACAAGAGATGACGTATTCTCTTTTCTTTCGATTGCATTTCTATCTTCTTCTCATCTAACCTGTATTTTTCGATTAGTCTGTCCGATGTTCGATTTGTCGCAGTCCACACAAGGGATATTGTATACTCTTCGATTTTCCAATACATTTTTTTGCGCATGGTAATATGGATGAGATTTTGCTGTTGGTGTTAAATATAGTCTCTATATTGTTTTTCCTTAAAACTCTGCTGATTTTATGTGTGGTGCCCTTTATATAGGATATAGGGTAGGAAAAGAAGAAAAACCAATTGGTTTCCTATTATTTACTTTAAATAGTAAAACTAATAACACGAATAGAATCTTCTTTTTCAACCACTGTTAATTATTTAATTATTTTTGATAGTTAATAAAATGGAAACCGGGTTTTCCAAAATCACATATAGCTGCCGCGAAAACCTCAAATACAATATATGTATATATATACATATACATATTTTATTTATTTATTTATTTATTTATTAACTCCATTGAGTACAACAATCTTCCCATTTTGCATTAAGCATTTGGTATGGTAAAAATAATGCAGACTTGTAGAGAGTTACTCCAGTGAATTACCTCTTTACTATTCTAAAAATTAAAATTTTATTAGTTTGTATACATTTATTATGTTTAGTCGGACAAGTCAGATGGCAATTGCCGTTTTAGTCTACGCACTTCAAAGACGTTCCGCACATTGAGTTGTCGAGTAAACGCATTAGGATGCACTAGCATCCTAATGCATCCTAATTCTTTAATTTTATTTGTAGTCCTATGTGCAATACCTTGTCAACAGCCTGAGATATGTCAAGGAAAGCAGCAGAACAGTATCTTTGGCGGTAAAATCCTTGTTTATTTGGTTGACTAGCCTATGTACTTGGGTACTATGTTCTATGGTTTCGTGTTTGTCTCGGAAACCGAATGTTCTGGAATTATTTTATGTTCGTCTATTATCGTTTTTAACCTTTTTACGTACATTTTTTCAAAGACTTTGCTAATCCTAGACAAAAGACTTATAGGCCGGTATGAAGATGCATTTTCCGGTTTTTTTCTGGGTTTAAGGATCATTATGATTTGTGCCACTTTCCATGAACTGGGGAGGTAGTTTAGGCGGAGGATTGCATTAAATATAAAGGTTATTAGTTTTATGCACTTATCCGTGACTTCATTTAGAATCTTGCCAGAGATTAGGTCAAATCCAGGGGCTTTTCTGATATTTACTTCATTTATTGTTTGTTTTACTTGGTTGACTGTGTGGGGCAGATCCATTTGAAACGGTGCTGTTAGGAATCTGGTTAGTTCTGTTTCTGCCTCTGTAGATACTGTAGAAGGGTATGGCGTGAATACTTTTTGAAGATGTTTGCCAAAAAGATCAGCTTTTTCATTGTCGTTCCTAGCCCAGGTGTTTACCTCATCTTTGATTGGTGGGTTATACTGTTGTGGCCGTTTGAGTTTTTTCGTGGCTTTCCAGAGTGAGTAATCTGTAGCTTTAGTCGGTGTTAAATTTTCTAATTATTTTTGAATTCCATGGTTTTCTTCTTCATGGATTAATTTCTTTGTTACTTTGTTAAGTTTTTTCTTATTCTCTGCCGTTCTTGACTGTTGCCAATTTTTACGTAATTGTCGTTTTTCTGAAATATTTTGTTTAATTGTGGGAGACACATTATTTCTGATTGGAGATGGTTCGTAGCTGGGAGTCGCATACCATGCAGTAGTTTGTATGCTTTTTGTTAGGTTATCTACAGCTGATTCTAGTTGGAGTTCATTTTTCAAGGACAGATTTAGTGAGATCAGGCTGTCTAGTCATGGTGTTATGCAAAGTTGGTTGATGTACTTTGTAAAAGATTTTTTCGAAGACTCTTATTATAAACGGTGAGTGGTCTGATGATAAATCGAAGCATAATTCAGCTTTACATTTTTTGGTATCGATGCCTTTTGTGATGCAGAAATCAACGGCATCAGGTATTTTGTTTAAGTCAGACGGCCAATAAGTTGGTTCGCCAGTAGAGATTTGTTGCAGGTTATTTTCTAACATTGCTTTAGCTAATTCTCTGCCTCTTAGTGATATTAGTCTAGAGCCCTACATAGCATGTTCTAAATTATAATCTCCACCTGCAAAACATTTGTTCCCTAGAGTGTTGAAATATTCTAGGAAGTGTTCTTTTTTGACGGCATGTTTAGGTGGGCAGTATAGGGCAGATATTGTTATTGGGCTGTTGGCTTCCTCAATTGTTAAGCTGGTTGCTTGGAGTTGGTCTTTGTTATATTTTTCCCTTTCGGAGTGTTTAATAGAATCATGTGAAATTATGGAGCTTCCACCGTGAGATCTACCGTCTGGGTGTCTTGTATGATACAACTTGTCGCTGGGAATCCGCAGTATTTGTCTATAAAGTGAGTCTCGGAAATTAAAATTATATCAATATGTTGATTAAGTATAAATGTTTTGAATTCTTTAGCCCGTGGATAAAGGCCATTTGCGTTCCATACTACTATTTTATATTTTGGTTGTGAAGCCATTAAGCGATCTTATTAATGACAGTAGTAAGCAAATTGAGTATTGTGCCTATTTGCTTCATGAGTTTTTGCATCATTTCTTCCAGCTTGGCTAAGTTGATATTCGGTTGGTTATTAGGTCCTGGTATTGCTTGGTTGTTATAGCTAAACTGTGGTTGATTTTTGCTTACTATTTGAGCATAGGTAAAATCAGGTTGTATTTGTTGAGAATTATTTATTTGAATAGGTGGTTGTATGATTCTTTTCTCTCTTAGTGTAGGATATAGCTTCTGCTGTAGTTGATTGTGAACTTGACATCCTATTTAGTTAGCCGGGTGATCACCGTTACAATTGACACATTTTACTTTGTCATCACATGATTTTCGAGGAAAATCTTTTGTTTCGTGATTACCTGTACATTTTACGCATCTGTGTACTTTGCGGCAGTAGGTTTCAGTGTTTCAGTTTTTTCAGTAATTTTTCTATTTTATAAACTTTTTTGTTGTTTTACTTTTATACGATATCAATAAAAAACATTCTCAACGGGGGTTTTGATACATAATGTTTTATATTGTGAATGTTTACTGCTTCATGTCCTTCTGCTGCTAGATTTGCCTTTGTGTCATCAGTATCTGTACCATGATCATCGAGCAATAAGACAAAAGAGGGAATCTAATCCTTATGAAAAGGAGACCAAAAAAGTGGCCTCTGATGGCGGACATATCCGGAAATGCGAATGCCCCAAATTTAAATTTTTTGACACTTATCAACAGTAGCTATATAATATTTTTCAGAATGTGTCTTAAACGAGAAAGTTTTAATTAATTATTAATGAAGAGTCTAAAATGCGACACAATTGTTAAAAAACTTCATTATAAATAAGATTTCACGTGACATTTGGGAGAAACAATAACATAACCCAACTAAATTTGATGTCAAACAAGGAGAGAGACTCTCTTTCCTTGTTTAATGTGGCCTCTAAATATCGCACTTCCTGTCTAACAATATGTTTGCCCCCACTACCTTTACATTCCCTCTATTGTCTTTTTGCTCGATGACCATGATGCAGTCCTTTTATGACAAACCTGAATGTTCTTTCGCTTTTTGGTCTAAAAGTGTAGTATTGCGTATTCCTTTTATCAAGTTCAGTGATCAGTGTTTTAAAATGTTCGGCCACCAGGACTTGAACTTTGACTGGTTCATAACTAATGGTTTTAGTCGTGTATTTATCTCCTGTATGTTGAACAACACCAACATTATAGATGGTTATCAGTGGGGGCTTGGGTACATCTTTTGTATTGTTTTCTTGATTATTTGCTTCATATTTCCTTTCTTCATTTTCTTCTGTTGGCATACTATACGAATTTTTTGTTTCTAGTGGATTTTGCAGCCAATAATCACTTAATTTTGTTTATTTCCTGGATATTTACACTTCGGGACTTCTTATTCTTTTTTTATTTCTTACTGTCTGCCATTTATCTTCAGATTTAGAGTTAGGAGCTGCTTGTTCCTTTGTGTGTTGGATTATATTGGATTGTGTGGATTTTAATATACTAAGTGTGGGGGAAGAGGTAAAGGATTTGGTAGTGAAAAATATTGAGGAAGAATTGGCTACATTTGAGTAGATAAACCTAGCATTTACTGATGTACGGCCTGTTGATTTTGATCATGGTAACCCGTTTGGGGTTGTGACATTGACGAAGGAAAAAATATTGTTGATAAGACATATTATTATTCACCTGATATCCGGATTGATGAGTTGGCACACCATTTCATTTGATATCCCTTTTTAATTCCACTCCACTGATATGAATTTTTGAATATTTTGTTATTACTTATTCTTCTTCTTCAAGTGCCCTGTCCGTTGCGAACGTTGGCTATTAACATGGCAATTTTGATCTTGTTTGCGGCGCTTCTGAATAGTTCGACCGATGTGAGCCCGAACCACTTCCGCAGATTTTGGAGCCACGAGTGTCTTCTCCTGCCTGGCCCTCGCTTACTGTCTATTTTTCCCTGGACAATCAATTGTAGCAGACGGTACTTATCGTGTCTCAATATGTGGCCTAGATATTCAAGCTTTCTTTGTTTAATTGTATTCACGATTTCTTTCTCCTTTCCGATTCTTTGGAGTACCTCTATGTTGGTGACATGTTCGGTCCAGGATATACGAAGAATGCGTCGGTACACCCACATTTCGAATGCTTCTAGTTTTCTCGTTAGCGTCTCCGTCAGCGTCCAGGCCTCCACGCCATACAGCAAGATCGGAAAAATGTAGCATTTAACTATACGTAGTTTTAGGGGAAGAGACAAATCCTTGCTTATGAGGAGCTTTTTCATATTGCTAAATGCTGCTCTAGCTCGTTCTATTCTCGTCTTAATTTCTATGGTCTGTTCCCATTTTGCATTTACGTTGGTGCCAAGGTACACATAAGATTCTACATGGTCAATTAATATGTTACTTATCCGTATACTTATTGCCTTCTGATAATTATTTATCGATTTCAAAACAGTTATTTACTGTAAAAATGTAATTAAAAATAAAAACTGAATTTATGTATGAGAACAAGTTTTTTCTCATATACAATGTATATATATATATATATATATATATATATATATATATATAAATATATATATATATATATATATATATATATATATATATATATACTGTTTTAAGAAATGACTATTGACCTACCTGACTATAACTTAATGATCCTTTTTTGTTTAAGCTTACTCCCACAATTTACTATCAGCTTGGATATCTACATATTCCGACAACATATGTAAAATGCCCCATGTATACGGCGATGTTTTAACAAACGGTATGTTTTGCGCTGGTTCTATGGACGGTGCGATGGACGCTTGCGATGGGGATAGTGGAGGTCCATTGGCTTGTTTGGACCAAGGTAAGAACATTACTTTTTCAGTATAATGCAATAAATATATTTTAAGGGCAAAATAGGGCGGATCTTGACCTAAAACATTGCGAGCTTTGCAGATCTATTCTCCTAATGAGCTTCCACAGTTTTGAGAGGGGTATTAACGTATTAACTTATACGTTGGGTTTTTTCTCTCTGGGTTCAAGATACTGCTGCCTTGTGAGGCCTTTACACTGATATAAGACGTACAGTGTGGTTTCCTATTCTCCCCGACAGAATTAAATGCTTATTGAGCTTGTGTAGTCAGTATCCAGACTATCACCCTGACAGTTTTTTGTTTGTGGGGCAGAAGGTCAGCAGTGAATTTGGTTGAAGATCCCTTAATGAAATCTTTAGCCTATCTTTTAAAGACTTTTTTGGACCCATTTATTAATGGCTACTGTTTTGTGTGTTCGCAACCCCAAAATAGGGCTACGAGCCAATTAATGGAGCACAAGTGTCTTCTCAGGCCAGTTTATGAGTCTTTTTATTGTTTACGTAGCCTTTGTGCCCTGGATCTCAAGCTAGTGTCTAGTCCAATCTATTCCAATTTACAAACTGGGAGAAGGTACCCAAAGAGTCTGTTACATTTTGGGAAGTCTCGCATATACCTTTTGCAGAGATCCTGGGTTAGAAAATAATAGAAAATATATTTCAATTAAATAAAAATTACTTTTATCTAAAAATACACAAGTGACTTAAACAGTTTTATTAATCAATCGTTTGGTGGTATACACTCAACTACCATGCAATACTAATATTAACATGATTATACTCCCTCCCTGCAAGTCATGAGTAAGCGATGATGATCGCAAAATATTATTATTTCGTAACATTTTTCGGCCTGAGAGGTAAAATAAATGCGTCACACTGATTAAGGAATTGTTAAAGAAACATAATAAGTATTTATTGATTTGTCATGTTAAAAAATGACTCTACATAAGGGAAAAGCAGCATCGAATGCATATTAATTTCTAAATATCTAATTGATGGATTCGACCGTTACTTGATGGAAATTCATTTTATGTAACAATAAAACACTGAAAACTTTGTTTTCAAACTTTCACAAAATTTAGTTTAACTCTTATCACTACAGCTGTTTCGGCTGATTGCCTTTCTCAAGTGATCTATTTTTGGCATGCGTCTACAATTTATAGTCTCTAATGAAATAGATTGAGGAGGGGAGAACTGTTTGTCTCAAGTTGGTCATTCAGATTTATATCTGTGTTTTTTAATTTGTTGATTTCCATAGATTCTAACAAAGATAGCTTAATGCCTTTATTTTGAATGTGAAGAATTTTAAATTTGTCATTAAAAGAATGATTATGATCTAGAAGGTGAAGTGCGTAAGTGCGTTTTTTATGGTTAATTTTCACCTAAATTTACCATAAAAAATACAATAGAACTAGTTAATAAAATACATTTTCAATTACCAAACAACTCCAGATTAATTTCATTTGACGTAAAAAATTTTTTTCCTAGTATCCCTCCTACAGAAACTTTTATTCTAGTAAAAAAACTTTTAGACCAAAATAGTACAAATCCAATAATTACATCTGAAATTTTACATCTTCTTGAAGTTTGCATAAACCAGGATTACTTTGAATTTAATTATCAAATATATACAAATAACAGTGCAGGACTTATAATGGACAATCCTCTAAGCCCATTACTATCAGATATTTTTATGGACCATCTAGAGACAAAGATTTCAAAACATCCCGTATTCAAACAATTTCTATATTGGTGGAGATACGTAGATGACGTACTGGTATGTTTCACAGGAACTAACAGGCAACTCGACCAATTTTTATCGTATATTAATTCACTTCATAGTCATATTGAATTTACAATAGAAACAGAACAAAATCAATCCATACATTTTTTAGATTTAAAAATTATCCGACTTAAAAACAAACATGACGTCCCCATATTTCATAAACCTACACATACTGACACGACTATACACAATTCATCATCCCATCCAACACAACATAAACTGGCAGCTTATCATAGTATGTTACATAGATTAACAGAAATTCCGATGTCAAAATACAACTTTAAGACAGAATTAAATATAATTAAGCAAATAGCAGTAAACAACGGATACAACGAACAAACAAGTAATAAAATGATAAATCAAAAACCACACAAGAAAGCCCTGAAATTAGTATTTCCACCACCAGAGAAAAAACCCAGTACCTTCGATTACATATACAGGCAAAATAACAACAAAAATAGCTAAACACATAAAAAAGAAAGGAATAACACTAGCTTTCCGAATAAATAACAACCTAGGTAAATATATTAAAAATAACAAGAACCAAAAAGAAAACCCTTAAATAGTGGTCTGTACAAACTTCAATGTGGCGACTGCCCAAAAACTTACATAGGTCAAACTGGTAGAAACTTTAATAAACTAATAGCAGAACATAAAAGGGCTTTCAATAATGGAAAACAGATTCGACATACGCACTTCACCTTTACCAAGTGTTCAGTGTTTTATTGTTACATTCTAAATATTTAATTATGTACTTCGACTAATCACATTTTTATCATTTTAGGTGTTTTTACTCTTTATGGTATAACTTCTTGGGGCATGCACTGCGGATACGCAAACAAACCAGGTGTTTATGTGAAAGTTGGACATTACAGACAGTGGATTGACGATACCATAGCAAAGCATTCGAGGTGAAATGACGAAAATCATCGAGCTTGGGAATTTTCCTATCTTAAATAATAACCTGGCCTACAAACGTCACGTTAATATATAAATTGCAACGACAGACTGAAGTGTATTATATCGAATTTTTAATTACATGTCTATAGTTTTCTAGAAAGTAAATAAATAATATATAACCTAATCACATTACTGTTGTTTTGTTTATTTTTAACAACTATAGGTTCCTAAACTCCATCAATCTTAATAGGCATCAAGTAACAAATAGCTAACAGTATGAGTCACACCGCAATCTCATTGAAGAACGGTGTCATATCTTTTACAAAGAACCGTTCTCGAAATCATTTGAGTTCTTTACATCTAATTTTTTATACCCTTTTGCAGTTTTATTTTCTCTTATTTTTTCATAATAAAGTCTAAAAACTCCATAAGCAGCCTCTTTCCACCGAATAGTTCTGAAAGATTTCACGGAAATCCCTTGAATCTGTAAGAATTTTATAGGATTTCAGACAATCCCAAAATAATTTAGAATAACCTGGAATATATTCACTTCGGAATATATTACCTGGAATATATTATATATTATAAAAGAGCGTACTGGAATATATTGTATATAAAAATTTATTCGCACGAACGCTGTGTGCGAAAAAATGCTCTGGTCTGTACGTTTGCTATCGAGCAAAAAGACAAAAGAGGGAATATAAAGGTAGTGGGGACAAAAATATTGTTAGACAGGAAGTGCCATATAAAGAGGCCACTTTAAACAAGTAAAGACAGTCTCTTTCCTTGTTTAAGAAATCAAATTTAGTTGGGTTATGTTCATCGAGCAAAAAGACGAAAGAGGGAATCTAATCCTTATGAAAAGGAGATCAAAAAAGTGGCCTCTGATGGCGGACATATCCGGAAATGCGAATGCGCCAAATTTAAATTTTCCGACACCTATTAACAGTAGCTATATAATATTTTTCAGAATGTGTTTTAGACTTGAAAGTTTTAATTAATTATTAACGGCAATAGTCTAAAATGCGACACAATTATTAAAAAACTTCAATATAAATAAGATTTCATGTGACATTTGGGACAAACAATAACATAACCCAACTAAATTTGATGTCAAACAAGGATAGATACTCTCTTTCCTTGCTTAATGTGGCCTCTAAAGTTCGCACTTCCTCTCTAACAATATTTCTGCCCCCACTACCTTTACATTCCCTCTTTTGTCTTTTTGCTCGATGGGCATCATGCTCTGGGTAAACTCAACCGAAATTACTATACAACCAAGCACACGTACTCATAGCCAATATTAATAGTAAACAAACTAAATAGTAAGTAAAATAGAACTTACATATAACATAACCCAACTAAATTTGATGTCAAACAAGGAGAGATACTCTCTTTCCTTGTTTAATGTGGCCTCTATAAAGATCGCACTTCCTGTCTAACAATATTTCTGCCCCCACTAACTTTTACATTCCCTCTTTTGTCTTTTTGCTCGATGGTTATTTATTGTTTGTCCCAACTGTCACATGAAATTTTATTTATATTGAAGTTTTTTACCAATTATGTCACATTTTAGACTATTATCGTTAATATTTAATTAAAACTTTCTAGTCTGAAAAATATTTTATAGCTATTCTTAATAAGTGTCGGAAAATTTAAATTTAGCGCCTTTGCATTTCCGGATATGTCCGCCATCAGAGGCCACTTTTTTGGTCTCCTTTTCATAACGATTAGATTCCCTCTTTTGTCTTTTTGCTCGATGACGTTTGCTCACATAAAGTTAACTCGCACGAATGCTATCCGTCAGTAGTCCGTTTCTGTACGACATCAAAGAATATTTTTACGCATCAATTTGCTCAGTTTGGAGATATAGTCGAACAGATATCTCGTGAAATTAAAAAGTTGCCGCTCAGAAGCAAATTTGAAAGTGTGAGTCCAGCAAACTTTCAAGAATTGCAATAAACGTTATGCAGTGGGGTGCTGGATATTTTTACACTATTGCATTGTTTCTTTTACTCGCGGTATTTAAATTTGATTTTGTTGTGCTTTTACGTTTTTGTATTTATGTATTCTGTTTTAATTATTTTAGTTTTACTGATTTTATGGAAAAGTTCTTTTCAGAACTCTGTTAAAATTAAAAACTGTAACGGTAAAGAAATAATTGTGATAATTTTTTAATAGATACACCTAAAGTAGTGTTATTTAATATTATAGCATGGAGTTTAAGAGTAAATTATCCGGAGGTGCTGTTAATAGTCAAAGTCGAGAATTAATTGCTAACGTGTTACCCTTTATGAAAAAGGAAGATGAGAAAAGGACACATTTTTCATAACTGACATTTTATTACATCACTAGTGATCTAATTAGATTTTACGTAATTCTCCAATTAAACATGGACATAAAATTTTAAGATTACCTCCATATCAACCAAATGTTAATTCAATTGTTCTGGTCTGGGCCAGCTTAAAATCGTATGTAGCATTAAAAATAATTTTTAATATCTTCTTTTTTTCTTTAATATCTAAAAATAATCACTTTTCATATTAATAATGTAAAAGAGTTATGCGAACAATTATTTGCCACTTTCCCTCTTACTAAGTGACAAAGCCGATACAACCATGCAAAAAATGCGAGCAAAAATTTTTGATGAACAAACAACAATGGAAAATAATATGGATAAATTTGTCATCACTTTAAGATCCAATGATTCGGGATGGGATTTGTCTGATGGTGAAGAGTCAGATCGAGAATCTGTAACGCCCCATGGGTTAAAAAAATCTAATTTATTTTATATAACATTTTACTGCTCTGCTGTGTCAATCAGCGCTGCTCAATAGTTTTCGATTTATTGTTTTATTGAAATAGGACCTACGGAATGTTATGTATCGTATTCGTACAGTGAATTTATTAACAAACTAGTTTTAATGATTTTTATTCAATATAATATAATACAATACAATAAAATATAGGATTACCAAATAATCAAAGTTATGCTTTTGCAATAATATAGTGTTATTAAAAAAAATAAGGTTTCATCCAAACATATCATTGAAAAATGATTCATGTTATCTAAACACTCGTATCGACAAAGAAATATGTACTGCGGCATGCGATATCTGTTAATATCAAATTCATACTTGTCATCATTATATTAAATTTTTTTTGATAGTTAAAAATTAAATGATCTGGTATTACTTAATATATTGGTATATAAAATTTTTTTGGGCCAAATTCCTGACCTTGGTTTAGCAAACCACATTTAGGTTAGCTCCGATAATATCGTTTAAATCTAATAGATTAAAGTGATCAAAAATAGTTAAAAGTGTTTACTACAAAAATCTACAGTGCTTTTCATCGATTGGTCTACAATCGCAGTGAGTAAAATTAATATTCTCAATAATACATAATTACAACATATTCTAAAAGTCAACAAAATTATCACAAAGGCCGTTTCAACCGGTTTCAGAGCGGGTTTTATCCAAAACTCTGCTGATAATACAGAGCCGGATTGGCACGGGTAAAAAATTGACTATGATAAATAAATTTAAAGACAAAAATTATTAACCAAAAATGAATCCAAAAGAGAATAATCCTTCAAAAAACACCACACCGTCTACATACTTAAACATACTAACTTCATTCAAATATCCGGCAAAAGACCAAGCTATTGTACTATCTGCCATAGAAGGAATTAAAATTCATGATTATATAGTTGCCATTGGATCACTTGTCCTACCAAAGAACATAGTTTTTGCCTCGAAAATTGCAAACAACCGCATTTGTATTTATTTATCCTCTAAAAGAATAATAGACCAACTCATTGATTCACACAAATACGTCAAAATCAGCAACGTGCAAGTAGAAGTCCGCAGATTAATAACTCCAGCATTAAGATTAGTCATCTCGAATGTTTGTCCAACCATTCCAAACGAATTTATAGAAGAAGAACTCAAGAAAATGGGAATTATAGCCATATCAAAAATGACATTTCTTCGAGTGGGTATGTCTGAGACAGAATATAACAATGTTCTTAGTTTTAGGCGGCAAATCTACATCAATCCATTAGAAAACTTATCCATAACAGACTCTTTCAACATTTCTTTTGATTGCACAACATATCGAATATACCTTTCTATAGACGAATTTAATTGTTCTAAATGTCGAACAATAGGACACCGAGAAGTTGACTGCATTCAAACAACGGATTCGCCCAGTGAACAAATGGAAACAGAAGTACCCGAAAATCCTAATTCAAATAACCAAACCAATATAGAGCTAACTGAAACCACCAATAAAACTCCATCTGAAGTCAACCTTCCCTATAACCCTCCAGCTCCTACCCTATCTATAACTAGCAACGATAACCCATCTTTAAAAAAAGATAAGGCCAAAAGACAATTATCAAATTCTCCAGATGTTTCTGATATTCCCACATCACAAGACGTCTTCTCTGTTCCCAAAACATCTAAACCAAAAAAAAGGGCCAAGTCGACTGAAATGGCACTAACTCTAAAAACCCTGAACTTATAGCAAAAGAATACACCAATGAAATATAATTGACATTCTCACTTTTATCCACGCAAATATTCAAAATCCCTCTTTAAAAAGAACAATTACAACTATTAAGAAAAAATTATCCTCAAATTATTATTCATCTACAGAAGAATCTAACAACGACACAATTAGTCAGGATATATAATGTCTGATACATTTTTAATTCAATGGAACCTAAACGGATTCTACACCCACCTTGAGCAATTAAAACTTCTTATAAACGATTTCTCCCCCATTGTAATTTGTCTGCAAGAATCTCACTTTAAAAAGAATTCTGTAACACTTAGAAATTATGTGCCATTTCTGAAAAACAGAAATGGAAAGCATGCTAGTGGTGGAGTAGCTACTTTCATTCGAAATGACACTGAAGCAAAAATCATTCCACTTATTACAAACCTGGAAGCTGTGGCTGTGTCAATTACCTACAGAAAAAACATCAATGTTTGTAATATATACTTACT